GGTGAGTCCCTGTCAGGGGATGGGCAAAAAGCTGATTCCCAACAGGCGCCAAAATACGTGACCGGTAAAGAACTGATGACCGAAGAAGAGCGCGCGGCCATGCGGCAGCGTATGCATAGTGCGGCTACTGACGAAGAACGAGCACGCGTACGGGCAGAGAATCACGCAAAAATGGCGATCAGAGCTCAGGAAAGGGGGCTCGTGCTTGGGCATCCACCTGGTCAGGCATCACCGCGAAAGCACCAGGGGCAGGGTGGTAAAGGACCGCATGCCGGACAGCATAAAAAGAACAAGGAGCAACGGCAGTCAACGGTTACTGCTGCAGACATCAGTGAACCGCAAAGCTGGGGTGCAGCGGAGAATGTAGTGAAGGTCAAACACCTGTATTTTTCTGCACAGCCTGATGCTGCCGGCATCAACGCTGCAAAAGATGCGGGCGTTGAGGTGGTGATTAATCTGCGCAGCCCAAAGGAAATGGATTGGGACGAAGCTGGTGCGGTCACACAGGCAGGGCTTACTTATTACCAGGTACCGATTTCCGGGGAAGGGCCAGCCTTTGACCAGAATTCGATGCAGCGTATTTCAGCATTGGTAAAAAAACATCATAGACAACCGGTCTGGCTGCATTGCTCCAGCGGCAATCGTGCCAGCGCCTGGCTTGCAGTCCACCTGGCGCAGGATCACCGCATGGATATCGATCAATCCATTGAGCTTGCGCGCAAAGCAGGTCTGACCAATGCAGAACTCGAAGCCCGGGTACGCACCTATGTGTCGTCAGCGCCCGGTGATTGAAAGTTATTAATCAAGCCCTGGTTTCCTCCCTCGGCATCTGCAATCCTGCAAACAGGCCGACCAGGCCCATGGCGCTTGCCAGCAGGAAGACAAGTGTGAACGAGCCGCTCAGATCAGCAATGAAGCCGCCAACAGGGGGCGAGACAGTTTGCGCTAAACCGAATGCTAAAGTGGCGGCAGCAAAGCTGGGTCCATAGTTCTGCGCGGAGGTGTTTTCAACCACATACAGCGTCATGAGCGAAGGGATGCCACTGAACAGCAAACCGAGGCCAATACACGCCGCCAGGGTTGGTGTCTGCACGCCGGTGAGAACAACGCCAATAAGAACGGGCCAGAGTCCGAATGCCAGAACGATAGACCAGCGGACGCCTATTTGTTGAGCAAGGCTGATCAGTAACGGGCCACCGAAAATCATGGCGCCCCCCATCAATGTGAAAGCCGCAGAAGCGTCCGCACTGCTCCATCCGCTGTCATCTTCGAGTCTGGTGGTCAAAAAACCCATAACCAGCAGATACATGAAGCCAAACGTGGAATAAGCAACGGTAAGCGGTAGCCAGCCATGCATTCTCTGCAGAGCGCCGAAGCCGCCGATACCCGCACCTCCGGTTGGCCTGGCCTGTTGGTGACGAACCACAACAAGGACCGCAACCACAACAACAAGACCTATGGCGCCCTGTATCAGATACACGCTGGCCCAGGCCCGGTCGCCGATATCTGATCGGAGGGAGCCGCTGAGGATGCTGGCGAATGCGATACCCAGACCGATACCTGAACCCATCAGACCAACGGCAAGGCCACGTCGTGCTGCGGGTAATGCATCGGCAGCGATGACCGGCGCGGGTATCCATACACAGGCGCCGCCAATGCCAGCGATAAATAAGCCTGCTGCTAACAGGTAAGGTGAGTCGGCGATGGCTGCCAGCAGGAGTCCGCTGGTTGCCAGGATCAGCCCCAGGCGTAGAACGGACAGCAGCAGATATCGACTCGTCGCCCACGCGACGATGATCGTGCCCAGCAGATAAGCCCCGACGTTGGCCCCACCGACAATGCCGGCCAGAGTATTTGACATGCCGAGGTCGTCGCGCACCGCAGGCAGGAGCAAGCCATAACTGAACCGCCCGAAGGCGTGGGCAACCGCCGCACCCAGCGCGACCAGAATGACTGTGGTCCAGCCGTAGCGGAATTGGGTGGGTGGTAAATTGGAAAGCTCTGGAGTGGTCAAGTTAATTCGATTCAGTTGTTTCAGCCATGAGGTTACAGCAAAGCACCATATGGATGTTGTATAACGCCGGTTCCTGGTCGAGGGGGTGACGCTGAAACCCCTATCAGTTTCGGATTCAGCCGCGTACGATGCCTGCCGCCAGGGTCCAAGTGGATCCCTGCAAGAAACAGCCCTCCTAATTCGATCGCAGGCTTTACGTAATGACCACTCCCGTGAACAACTCAGATGAAAAAAATATGACCCCATTACGGTGGGTGGAAATTACCAGCGAGCCGGTGGAACTCTACAAGATCCTGAAGTTTGAAGGTATGGTGACGAGCGGTGGTCAGGCGAAGGCCGTGGTTGCAGCTGGCCAGGTCCTGGTTAATGGTAAAGTGGAAATTCAGAAGCGTAAGAAAATAGTTAGTGGTGATACGATTGAGTTCAACAATGAAAAGTTTGGCATTAAGCTCACAGCTGCAGACGTTGAGAAATAATGAAAGCCAATGATTGCCTGCGCCGGGTGCGCTACATCCTGGATCTTGATGACAAGCACATCATCTCTCTGTTCGCGCAGGCTGACCAGCGTGTCTTCAGAGCTCAGGTGATTGCCTGGCTCAAAAAAGACGACGATCCAGAGTACGAAGAAATCAGCGATGCAATGTTTGCAACTTTTCTGAATGGCCTGATCAATGAGCGGCGTGGCAGGAAAGATGGTCCTCAGCCCGAACCGGAAAAGAGAATGAATAACAATATTGTGTTCAGGAAACTGAAAATTGCATTCAATCTGCAGGCAGAAGATATTCTCTCAATACTATCGTTGGCTGACTTCAACATCAGCAAGCATGAGCTATCCGCCTTTTTCCGCCGGCCGGATCACCCGCATTACCGGTTGTGTAAAGACCAGGTGCTGCGCAATTTTCTGACAGGCCTGCAGATCAAACACCGTGGAGAGATCCCCGGCGCTGCCTCTGCCCAGGTAGAGTAAAGCAGGCCGCTTGACCGAAAACTTGCACGCTGGGCTGAAGAAGGTGCTTCAGTCAGAATGTTGACATGCACGGGTAGCCGAAACTGTGCTTTCTTTCCTCGACAGCCCCAGCACGTCTCGGTAACATGCCGCCCGCTCGTGGAATCTGTTTTTCTCTAGCCATCACCCTGTTTTATCTGTAGTTGTTGGTTGGTCTGGCCACGCTGCGGGCTTCAATTGGTCCCCACTTGTTCATTCACTCCCGTGACATGATTTCTTGTGCTTCGGCGTTTGCGTATTACAACGCATGCGGACAGCTTTATGCGGTGGTTTTACTTTAACGTTGCAGGTTTTTTTATCAAAAATACATATCTGAAATACTTTGCTCTGGCCCAATCGGTCAATTACCGGACTGAAATATTATCCGGCCTGACGGTGGCGCTGGCGCTTGTGCCCGAAGCAGTCGCATTTGCTCTGATTGCCGGGCTGTCACCGCTTACCGGCCTCTATGCAGCCTTTGTTATGGGTTTGGTGGCCAGTGTGTTGGGCGGTCGTCCGGGCATGATTTCCGGTGCAACGGGTGCGATAGCGGTGGTCATCGCGTCGCTTGCGTTCTCCCACGGTGTTGAATACGTGTTCGCCACTGTCATCCTGGCAGGCATTTTACAGGTGCTGGCCGGTGTGTTTCGCCTGGGTAAGGTGATGCGCCTGGTGCCACATCCGGTCATCTTCGGTTTTGTGAACGGCCTTGCGATCATCATTTTCATGAGCCAGATCGATCAATTCAGATCCGGTGACAGCAGCTGGTTGGCAGGTACCGAACTGGCGACGTTTGGTGGTCTTGTGGTTTTTTCTATGCTGGTCATCTGGCTGTTGCCGAAGCTGACAAAAGCGGTGCCGGCATCCTTGGTGGCGATCCTTGCTGTGTTCGGCATCGTCACCGTCCTGGGAATCGACACCAAAACGGTTGGTGATATCACCTCTATTGCTGGCGAGTTTCCGCCGTTTCACATCCCTATGGTTGAGCTCAATTTTGAGACGTTAAAGCTGATCTTCCCCTATGCATTAATTGTGGCCAGTGTTGGTCTGATTGAGAGTTTGCTGACGCTTAACATTATTGATGAGATTACCGAGACCCGTGGTCGCAGCAATAAAGAGTGTGTTGCGCAGGGCACCGCAAATGTGTTGTCCGGTTTCTTTTCGGGCATGGGTGGCTGCGCCATGTTAGGACAGAGCCTGATCAATATTTCCTCCGGCGCACGTGCTCGGCTCTCGGGGATTGTGGCCGCAATCATGTTGCTGGTTTTCATCATGTACGGCGCGCCAGTTATTGAGCTGTTGCCCATGGCAGCCCTCACCGGCGTGATGATGATGGTGGCAATAGGCACCTTCGAATGGGCCAGCTTGAAAGTTTTTCAGCGTATGCCAACGTCAGACATTCTGGTGATGATACTCGTCACCCTGGTCACCGCTGTCCTGCATAACCTCGCTGTTGCGGTGGTTGTTGGCGTCATCATTTCCGCGCTGGTATTCGCCTGGGATAGCGCTGTGCGCATTCGTGCGCGCAAGTACGTTGATGAGAAAGGCTGGAAGCACTATGAGATCTATGGTCCGCTTTTCTTTGGATCCACGACGCACTTTGCTGAAAAGTTCACTGTGCTTGAAGATCCCGATCACGTTGTGATCGACTTTGCAGAGAGCAGGGTCGCTGACATGTCTGCAATAGAGGCGCTCAATAAGATAACCGAGCGGTATGCCAAAGTGGGCAAGAAAGTGCATCTGCGGCATCTGTCTGCGGATTGTAGAGCGCTGTTGGTAAATGCTGAGGCACTGATTGAGGTGAACTACTATGAAGATCCCAGTTATAAAGTAGCCGGCGCCGGCGATACTGTGTCATGAAAATATTTGGTGTAGCCCCTACGAAGTGGCGCTGATTCTTCTTACACTCTGTCCACAGTAAAAACCTCCTAACCGCTGGTGAGTGACATGAGTGAAGTAACATCTGAGCAACCGCAAAATCCCTATGATATTTGGGCGGCCATGCGCAAAGATCAGCCGGTGCTGCAGGAACAGCCGGATGCGCCTTATACCGTGGCACGCTATGAAGATGTCATGACCATTCTGCGAGACAACGAAACATTTTCGTCAGATGTCTCCCTGCGTTCAGAAGAAGAAAAGAAAATCAGACCTTCGATGTTGTTCAGTGACCCACCGGTTCACAATCGTCTGAGAAAACTGGTCAGTTATGCTTTTAAGCCCCGTTTTGTCGAAAGTCAGCGCCCCCTGATTGAGGCGCGCAGCGAAGAGCTGGTGATCGACATGACCCGGCAGCGTGAACTGGATCTGGTTGAAGCATTGGCTGCGCCGTTGCCAGTGACAGTCATCGCACACATGCTGGGTGTGGTTGATGGAGATTTGAAGCAGTTTAAATACTGGTCTGACAAAATTTTCAGCAATATCGGTGAGATTCTATTTGCACAGCCAGATGCCGAAGTACAGAAAGCGCAGCTGGAAATGGACACTTACTTTCTTGAGCGGATAGCTGAACTGCGCAAGCAGCCTGAAGATAACCTGCTGGGCCGCCTCGTCGAAACAGAAACTGAAGATGGCAAGCTGACGGATAATGAAGTGCTGAGTTTCTGTGGTTTGCTGCTGATAGCGGGTAATGAAACAACGACGGGATTGATTACAGGCAGCGTAAGGGTGTTTAACGAAATGCCTGAAACGTTTGAGCAACTCAAAGCTAACCCGGATCTGATCCCCACTTTTGTGGAAGAGACGCTCAGATTTTACTCCCCATTTTCGGCCACCATTCGACGCACCACAAAGCAGACAACGTTGTCTGGCATAAGTATTCCCAAGGGTGCGCTGGTTCTGCCGCTGATCGCGTCTGCAAACAGAGATGAATCGGTGTTCGAGAATGCTGACCAGTTTGTGATTGATCGACAGCCGAACCCGCACATTGCACTTGGTTTTGGGATACACAATTGCCTGGGTGCTCACCTGGCACGCCTGGAAGGTCAGATAGCCGTAGCATCGATGACAAAACATCTGCAAAGCATTTGTTATGCTGCAGGCGAAGAGGCGGCTCCAGGTCAGCTCGGTGGACCGAGTAAGCTGATGGTTAATATAGAGCCAGCGTAGCGTCCTGATGCCTTGATCTTGTGGTCAATAGGGCAGGCAATGAACGAGGGGAGAAAATGGTGCAAGCGAATTTAAAACTGCGGCATGGGTGGTGTGGCTCCAGCTCACCCACAATAAGATGCAGGGCGCGAAACTTTGCCGTTGCTGGTCTTGCAGCTTTGTTGCTCCTCTCTGGTCATGCTCACGCTGACTGCAGTAAAACGCCTGGGATCAGCCGCTTTTATCAAAGCGGCTGGGGTATCGACTTCAAAAGCCAGCGATTTGCGAAAGATACCGTCATAAATGGCGGTAATGCGGCCAATCTGAAATTGAAGTGGGCCTATGGATTCGGCACGCAATCTCCACGCGTTTTTCCACTTGTTACTGAAGATACGATATTTATTGGCGATGCTAATGTCGGGCTGGTGGCGTTAGAGCGCGAAAGTGGTTGTACCCGTTGGGTGAACCCCGACATCAGCGATCCTTCTACAGCTATCAGTCACGGTGTGGTTGATGGCAGAACAGTGCTTGTCATCGCGGGTCGTCAATCAGGTATTTTTGCTGTTGATGCAGCAAGCGGTGCAACCATCTGGGAGCGCCAGGTGACTGATGACAACCCCGTGCCTGTTTATTCCGGCAGTCCCTTAGTGTTTGAGGATCAGGTGTTTGTGCCTTTGTCATCCATGGAGATTGGATTGTCAGCTAACCCATTTTACGGCTGCTGTACAACCAGTGGCGCGGTAGCTGCGCTCGATCTGCGTACCGGTAAAACCAACTGGTACAGGCGCACTATTCCTGATGCCCCGCAGGTGACGGGCAGACATTATTTTTTTGTAGAAGAGCATGGACCGAGCGGCGCGCCTGTCTGGGGTGCGCCGACGCTGGACGTCGAACGTCGCCTGTTATATTTCGGCACGGGACAGAATTACAGTCATCCGACAACAGCAACATCTGACGCCATCTTTGCAGTTGATATAGATTCCGGGGCGCCTCGTTGGATAGCGCAGTTTACTGAAAACGATGCTTTCAACATGGCCTGTACAGCGGGCGGTGTGAATTGTCCTGATCCCATGGGGCCTGATGTTGATTTTGGCGCGCCACCCATTCTTGTGACGTTACCCAATGGTCAGGACGCAGTGCTGGCCGGACAGAAATCCGGCGATATATGGGCCATTAATCCTGATGATGGCACGACAATCTGGCATACACGTATAGGTCGCGGAGGCGCGTTGGGGGGCATCCACTGGGGGATGGCGGTTGATCAGCGCAATGCATCTCTTTTTGTACCGATCAGTGACTTGCCAGCACTTCCCGGGACAGGTGAGGCAGAGCCAGGCATGTTTGCGTTGGATATCGCCACCGGTCAGAAACGTTGGTCTGCACCGCGCGTGCAGCGATGTGAGGGGCGCCAGTGTTGGAGCGGTCTATCTTCAGGGATTACCGTTGCAGACGGTGTCATTGTGTCTGGTGGGCTAGATGGTTTGTTAGAGATCTATGATTCTATTAACGGTGCGCTTATCTGGTCTTTTGATACCCAGGTCGAATTTGAAGCTGTTAACGGATTGCCCACGAAAGGGGGGGCAATAGATGCCCACGGACCAGTACTGGCAGACAACCTGTTAATCGCAATCTCTGGTTATGGTTCCTTTGGTCAGAAACCGGGTAATGCGTTACTCGTGTTCGAAGTGCCGGCGGAGTCGTCACCGTGAGTGCTGCTGGGCAGCGAGCGCATACGGGTCGTCGAATCATTGCGTCATCAATCGATTTTGTTCTGGTGCCACTTGTGAGTTTCCTGGTCATGCTGGTTTCTGGTGCCATGGAAACAGCTGACGCCTATGCCGGCAATCAGATCTGGTTGCGCGGTATTGGGCTTGGCGTGGCCGGTTACTTATTGATCAACGGATGGCTGCTGCATAGGCGCGGACAAACCGTTGGCAAGATGGTGATGGGGATTATGATCGTGGACGCCCAATCCGGCGAAAAGGCGGCGTGGTGGCGTTTGATTGCCATACGCGCGTTGTTTTTTCCGCTGCTCTATTTACCTTTACTGTATTCAATTGTTGGCCTGTGGGCTTTGTTGCCGCTGCTTGATCAGGCATTTGCCTTGCGCCGTGACCGGCGTTGCCTGCACGATCTGGCAGCCGGTACGGCTGTGGTGCCTCGGTTAAAAACGCAACACGCGTAAGGGGATAGTCTGCCGCGCGTTATCTCTCCCAGTCAGCGGCGCCTGCAACGCCCACCGGATTTTACCGGCAGGCGCTTGAATTCGTTTTCTGCCGTCTTTCTCCGGCATGGTCTGCCTGGTGTTCTGCTTGGGCTGGTCTGTCTTCTGCATGCAGATATGCGAGCACTGCTCAGTGTTGCGCTGACAAATTTCTATACCCATCCACAGCTGTATGTCGTGACTGGGTTGATGATTATGACGGGCCTCAGTCTCTATGCCTGGTATGTCGATCGTCGTTGGCGGCTCGAAAAGTTAGGTTGGGTCTTGTATCTCGGTGTATTGTCCGCCTGGGAAGAATGGGTGTTTCGGCTTGCGGTGCCTTACTTCATGGAAAGCAGGGGTGTTGAATTGTTTGTCGCAGTATTAGGGGCAAATATTATTTTTGCTGTGGCGCACTATTTTACGCTACGCTGGAAGTGGCAGTGGTGTGTCGCTGTATTTATCTTTGGCATGCTGCTCAGTCGGCAAATGGATAATCACTTTGATCTGTTGTTGGTGGTGGGTATTCATTGGGTGTTTACGTTTCTGAATACGCCGCGGTTACCCGGACGAGTGCGGTAGGGGGCTTACATGGAGCATGCAGTACAGGTTGAAATACTGAAAGAGCTGATGCAGCAGCTCGATGATGGTAAGAACATAGATGCCGGTGTGCAGTACAAGATGCCAACCACATCGTATGTGTGTCCGGAACTGGCTAACCAGGAATGGCAGTCGTTCTTTCAAAACCACCCCCAGTTGATTGGTCTTTCAAACGATTTACCTGAGCCGGGCAGCTTCATGACGCTGGACGACTTTGGCACACCAATATTGGCAACGCGGGATAAAGCAGGTGAGTTTCACGCTTTTCTGAATGCCTGCCGGCACAGATCGGTGAAAGTTGCGGATGAAGAGCGTGGTCGAAAGTCGGTATTCATGTGCCCGTTCCACAACTGGAGTTATGCCAATACCGGTGATCTGATCTCTATTCCTGACGAGGATCACTTTGGTGCCATAGATAAGAGTTGTCACGGCTTGATCGAGCTGCCTGCGGTTGAACGCGATGGGTTGCTTTGGGTGCATCCCCAGCCTGATGGGCACCTTGATATTGATGATCTTCTTGGCGACCTTGCAGCAGAGTTGGGATCTTTCAATCTGGCGGAAAATACCTTTGCAGGTAACAAAACCATCGACATGAATCTGAACTGGAAGTTTGCTAACGATACGTTTGGGGAAACCTATCATTTTGGAAAACTGCACAAAAACACGCTAGGTAAGCTTTATTACGGTAATAATCTGCATCTGAAAGTATTTGGGCGCCATCATAGGTTTGTGACCGCTAATCGTGGCATTGATGCGATCCGGGCTCTACCGGAACAGGATTGGAAGATCACAAGCGGTACGTTTGTCCTTTACCACCTGTTTCCGAACATTCAGCTTATCGTGAATGCTCAGAACGTCACGCTGATTCGTATTTACCCAGATCGAAACAACCCTGGCCGTTCAATCACGCGTATCTCCTTTTATTTTGCGCCGGAGATTGCCCAATTGATTGCGCAGGCTGATGAGGAGGCTGTCGCAACAGGGGATGTCTATAACTATGAGGAGCGGACCGGAGGAGACGGCGCAGCAAGCCTGGAGGCCTCTCTCGAAGTGTTTCGCAGCACAGTTGAGCAGGAAGATTACGTGATGGGCGAGATGCAGCAGCGTGCTGCGGAAAACGGCCAGTTGAAAGAAATCATCTTCGGCCGCAATGAGCCTGCGCTGCATCACTTCCACAGCAGCTACCGTGATGCCCTTGGTCAGCCGCCGCTGGATGTGATCGAATCATCCTGATTTGGTCGCGAGGATGCCTGGCAGTCAGTCAGCCTTTCATCGGGATCTTCAGAGCAATGGGTTGTACATATTGAGCGTGAGCGCCTGCAGGTTTTTACTGGTGATCTCTTCAGCATTGGCGATTAACTCATCCAGATCATCGAGTGCATGAATAAACCGTCCTGCAAGTTTGTCAGCTTTGCCGCTAGCCAGGGCGACAACCAGTTCACCACTCTTCTCGATGGGCACCCATTGATCATCTGGAATATCGGCGAATTGAGGTTGGTCGGTCATGTCCGTGGCAACAAGGCCGGGGCTGATAATAAAAACCGACACGCCGAATTCTTTTGCAGCATCGGCTAAACACGAATTCCATCTGAACAAAGCTGCCTTGCTGACCGCGTAGGGGGCAGCATTGGGGTTGGGATTTGCGCCTATAAGACTGCCAACATCTATGATCCGGCCGGATTTCTGTTTTACCATCTGACGCATGGCTGCCTGGCTGCAGAGGTAGGCGCCACGGACGTTTACTTCCTGTACGGCCCACCATTCGTCTACCGGCAGATCCCATGGGTATTGTGAGCCCGCACCGATGCCTGCGTTATTGACGAGCAGGTTGAGCTGTCCATGTTGTGCAACAATCTCCTCAACTACAGAGCTGGTCATGCTTTCCTCTGTCACATCCAGTTGGACGCAAGTACATTGGCCACCCAGCTGATCGATCTCTTGCGCAACAGAATCTAGGGTTGCAGGGTTCCTGGCGGAGGCCACAACGGTTGCGCCCGCGGTAGCAAGGCTGATCGATATTTGACGGCCGATACCCCGATTAGCTCCGGTTACCAGTGCCACTTGGTCCGATAAGGTCTGTTCCATTTTTCAGTCTCCAAAAATGTCAGCGCTAATCATATGGAAACGACAGGTGCTCTGTTAGTGTGTCGCGAAATTTGCATATCAGCTGAAGTTACACTATGTCGACGATAATTATGGATGGTGGCATGGGGGGGAGATCTCCGCCCGCGTCGCAGGAGCAGGACATTGGTTATGGTCCGCAAAAGCGCTCGTGGATGCGCCAGATGTGGTTGTCGATATTCATCGGGAATACATCGACGCCGGCGCAGCAATTATAGGCGGCTGTTGTGGTATCAGCCTCTTAGATATTCAAGCGTTAAGTAAAGCGCTTGCGAACACTGACTGATTCAGGTGGCCAGGGAGACAAACATCTTGATCGATTATCAGGGCATATTGGAAGAAATCTACGCTCAACTGAATTCATCTGTTGGCGTTGGGCGCGTCGCGAATTATATTCCGGCGCTGGCTGCTGTCAGCCCGGATAAATTTGGCATCGCCATTGAAACTGTTGATGGGCAGCAGTTTCAAGTTGGCGACGCGCAGGAGCGATTTTCTATTCAGAGTATTTCCAAGGTTTTTAACCTGACCCTGGGTATTAAGTTGGCGGGAGAAGCGCTCTGGCAACGTGTTGGTGTGGAACCATCGGGCAACCCGTTTAATTCGCTGATACAACTTGAACTCAACAATGGTATACCGCGGAATCCATTTATTAATGCCGGAGCGCTGGTCATTATCGATAGTCTGCTCGATTCACTGGAGCGGCCGAATGGCGAGATGCTCGACTTTGTCCGCAGGCTGCGTTGCCAGGATGTTTTTTACGACGATGCGGTAGCCGCATCAGAGCGCGATACAGCATTTATCAATCTTGCTCTTGCTAATTATATGAAAGGCCAGAATAACCTGCAGCATCCAGTGCAGGATGTGCTGGAGGTTTACTGTTATCAATGTTCCATTGATATGTCTTGCGCGGGACTGGCAAGGTCTTTCCTGTATCTGGCTAACGGTGGTGTTGTGCCAGAGTCTGGTGAAGTTATGGTGACATCCAGTCAGGCGAAACGTATTAATGCTTTAATGATGACCTGTGGTTTTTATGATGAGGCGGGTGAATTTGCTTACCGCGTTGGGCTGCCGGGTAAAAGTGGTGTCGGTGGTGGGATTGTTGCGGTTATTCCTGGCGAGTTGAGCATCGCCGTGTGGAGTCCGGAGCTTAATGATCACGGCAATTCTGTGCGTGGTATTCTCGCCCTGGAACAATTCACGACCCTCACGGGAAAATCAGTTTTTTAACCGAGGTCAGAAAGACAGCAGACGTTTGTGCGAATCAGTCAGGCGCTGTTGGTTTTGTTTGTGATTTGTTCAGGGCCTTGCTGCGCAGCTATCAAAGCGTCACGCTCAGCAGTAATGTCTGCCAGTTCTTCGCTGCGTTTTGCAGCAGAGACCTTGAATTTACTCAGCCAGGATTCGCTCTGGTCGAGTGAGTACTGCATGTCGCGTATAGATGCTTGCTGTGCCTGGATCTCTTCACTTAACGTGACAACACGGGACTCCAAAGCCTCCCGCGCCTGTTCCTGAATCTTCATGTCGGCAATACAGTTCTGCAGTTCGTCCTGCTGACGTGTCTTATCTTTGTTTGCATAGTCCAGTTCGCTGTTCAGCTGCCGAATCGATGCTTCCCGGTCCTGGACAATGGCGCCCAGCTGCTCCAGGGCTTTTTCCAGTTCGGGCACCCGGGACTGCAGTTCTTCCTGATTGTCCTGCAACGTCTGGTTGTTCTTCGAGCGACTGCGGGCAAGATCTGAAAGCATCTCGCGATCCTGGCGTAGTTCAGACAGCTGATTTTCCAGGCGTTTAATGATTGTTTCCTGAGCGCTGATCTGATCTTGTAGCGCGTCCACACCAGTTGTGGTTTCGACGTTGCCAGCCTGGGCAGGCGCAGAATCTGTATTGGACGTGCTGGCCAGCTGTGTCTCAAGTTCCGCTATCCTGTCTTCTCGTTCAGACAGTGTCTGGCGCAATGCTTCATAAAGCGATTCCGCGATGTTTACCCGCCGCTGGCTCTCGGGGTCAAGGTCGCCTGTTAATTCGTCGTAATCACTACCCTGCAATAGGATATTGCCGGGTTCCTGTAATTTCTTAGCTGAGCTTAACTCGGTTGTCAGGGTGCGGATTTCTCTGGCATGACTCTTTATCTGAGAATCCTGTTGTGCGGCGACCTGGTCGAGTTCTGCAATACGTTCCTGCTGTGAGCCCAGCTCCAGGTTCAGGCGGTCTATCTGTTGTTCGCGACTGCGAACTGAAGTTTCCAGCTGCGGGATAGATCTTTTTGCATCAAGGACCGCTTGTTTCAGCGTTGTTTCCCGACGGGCTGTACCCAACCCTCTGGCTACCCAGCCTGACCAGATACAGAAAAAGCCAGCAGCGACGTAGGTAGCCACTGTTCCGGGATTGCTGACAATAAAGCTGATGATCGTATCAAGCATGTTCTGCGAGGCGTTGGTTCACAATGATGGATAGTGTCGCAATCTACTATTCAGCGTGGCGGCGGGCGTCACAGATGTGAACCAAGCCACAGGTGCGAATGCCGTGTTATGTGTCCCGCCTCACAGTTTGGGCCGGGTTTACCTGGCAGTGGAGCTATTGTCGGCCCATTTATGTAGACAAATAATAGACATAATATGATTTATCACCGAATAATCTTGATATGTCTAATATAAGTACCTAAAATTCCGGTTCTGTCCAAGGTTAAGCTTCTTATTATTAGACGCTTTGACTACTTGGGTATCTTTTTTCTTCAAAAGCGGAAGATTTATGAAGTTGAAACAAAGCATTCTGCCAATCTTTGCAGTGTTCGTGAGCTTAAGCGTCTCTCAAGGAGCTGCTGCATCCGACGAAGGCAAAGCCTTAGCGTGGAAGTATCACTGTATAACCTGTCATGGTCAGCAGGGTGTTTCTAACTCCCAGCGTTACCCCAATCTGGCTGGTCAAAACGTCGCCTATCTGGTCAGTCGGTTGCGCTACTTTCGAGATGGCGTAGAGCATGGCAACCAGATGAATGGTCAAGCCGCTCCTCTCAGCGACGAGGAGATCACCAAGATCTCCGAATTCTTTAACAAACCGTATTAGTGAGGCGCGACATGGCAATTCGATTAATTCTGGTCGGTATTATGGTGAGCATGCTTGCAGCCTGTGGTGCCGAGCCCTTGGATGGCGCTGCGTTAGCGCAGGAAAAAGGTTGTGTAGCCTGTCATGGGGTGAATGGCAAAGCGAACGTTGCAAGTTACCCGAACCTCAATGGCCAGTGGGAGCGCTACCTGAGGTTGCAGCTGCGCGCGTACCGCGACGGTCCGAGGGAAAACGCGATTATGAACGGTATGGCGACAGGGCTGACGGACGAAGAAATTAATGCCCTGGCGGCACATTACGGCCGCGAAAGTTAATCCTGACAAGCTTGGGCGTGGTCTCGACAAACAGCGGTCAGTAATTTTCGAATCGGGCGGTTATCAGGCTGCTCAAGCTGCGCCTGGTGCAGGACCGTCGCCGCCCGTTGCGGTTGTTCGGCGTTGAGGTAGAGGCGCGCCAGGGAGGTGAACGCATCGGCCCTGCGTAGTCCTGATTCGCCTTCCACCTGAAAAAGATATCGCTCAAGAGCGGCCATGCCGCGTACGCTCTCGAGGCGATTTTCAGCTGCTATCCTGCCGAGTTCCAGCCACGCTTCCTGAAAACGCGGGTAACGTTCAACGAGGGTTTCTAACGTTTTGATAGCGGCTTCGGGTTGTGTGTCTGCAAGGTAGGCTTTGGCAAGATAAAGAGCTGGGTCGCGTTCACTTGGCGACAGTTTTTGGGCTTTGGCAAAGCCGCTTACCGCGGCAGCTGTATTGCCAACCCCCAGGTCATATAACGCTTGCGCTTCGTGGCCCAGCGCCGGGTCATAATCCCGGCAGGCTTTGACCTGATCTCTGGCTTTTGATTTGCTGCCGCCGAGCAGCCACGGTGCCAGGGTATAAAATCTTACCAGGAGGATTCTGGCGCGCATATTTTTGCCATCGTATTCAACGGCTTGCTCCAGAGCTTTCCGAGCTGAGCGGGCCGCACCGATTTTGCTGAGAATGCCCCCTTGCAGAAGGAGGGTAACCAATTGCGCTTCGCCTTTGGCTTCATAACACAGTGCTTCATCCGGAAACGTTCGCTGGCAATCGTCAGCTGCGTTTCGCGCAACCTCCAGCTGACCCTGAAGTACGGCAACACGCGAAGTCAGATACAAGCTTCTCGCGGTTGGTGCCTGGGTTTCTGAAAACTCAGCAAGCAATCGGTTTGCATCTGTCAGGCGAAGATCGTTGAAGGCATCGTTTGCTGCGTCAACTAAACCATGCCCGAACAAAGGGTGAGCAGCCAAACAACACATCAGGAAAAATAGCTTATGCCAGAGAGTTTGTTTGCGGATCACTTTTTGTGCGGCAGGTGCGCAGCCAGTTCGTGTAATTTGCGGGTTTCAGTCTTTTTGCCATCGGATACGGCAATCAGCAATTCGGCGCCGCCCAATTCCATTGCAACCTGCAGGCACGCACCGCAAGGCCAGGTCAGTTCACCATCGGTGCGACGGGATACTAAAGCCAGAATCTCAGGCTTGCCGGCATTGTTTGCGACAGTAGAAAAGAGCGCGACACGCTCAGCACACATAGCAAGACCGAGGGAAATATTTTCCACCAGTGAGCCTTTGATCACCGCGTTGGTCTGGGTCACCACGGCAGCACCCATTTTGAATCCTGAATAGGGCGCATAGGCGTCGTTTTTGGCTTCTGCAGCGTCATGAAGGGCATCTGCAACGCGTGGGTCTTCTGATTGCATAGTGGTACCTACTGTTCCTGGGCTTCGGGCAATTTATAAATGAATATGCAGGCAACGAACGCCATTAACGAAAACAGCAGTATTGCAACTGAGTTACCGAGCGATTGCACCAGAGATGCAATGGCCCCAGCAAGCAGCAATACTACACCGATTAGGGTGTTTGAAACTGCTATGTAATCTGTGCGCTTATCCTTTCCACCCAAATCCACAAGATAGGTCTTTCGCCCCAGTCTGACGCCATCGTGCAGGACCATTAAAATGAAGAAACATCCCGGCAGGAACCATTGCGTATGCGTCAGCTCGGGTTGAAAACGTTCCAGCAAGAAAATCAGGGCACCCAGAACGCCGGCAGCCATGCCACTGGATAACAGCAATTTGCGGCTTGACCGATCAGCAAATTTGCCCCAGAAGTGTCCGCTGAGCAAGGCTGCGGTACCTTGTGCCAGAAGGAAAAATATTAGTGCTGTGTTGCCCTGCTGCTGGGCCATGATCACCAGAAAGGGTGCCGACAGGGCGGTGCCCACCAAAAAGGCGCGACCGATGACAAAGTTACGAAAGGGTGCGTCATCCCGCAACAGAGCAAGGCTTGCAAAAGCCTCGGACAGCCCGTTAACCCCACCTTCAACCGCACCTCGATCCTCTTCAACGCGAGCATATAACCAGGCAGCTAAGAGCCAGAACACGCCAGCTGATACAATCAAACTGCTATAGGCTGCGATGCCAGCTTCCAGCTGATACAGCACGGCTGCGGCGATGACTGTGCCAAACCCGGCAACACTGGCCGACAACCCATTGACCCTCCCGCGCCTTGTCTTAGGGACCGTTTTACCCATTACATCTTTGGCAGCAACGGAGCAAAACCCACGCGCCAGGCTGAAAAAAATCACACATATCAGGATCGTCACACCTGCTGCGGCGCCCTGAAGAAAGACAGCGCTCAAGACAGTACCAAACAGCGCCAGAGCCTGGGCGACAGCGCCTGCGCAATAAAACCATTTGCGTATAGGTGCCTGGCGAACCCAGCGACCAATAACAAGTTGTGGCAGCATGGAGCCGCTTTCACGGATCGGCACCAGCGCAGGAGCGATCCAGCCTGGCGCGCCGATGCTGGTCATTAGCCAGGGTAAGGTGGTCTTTGTGTTTGCCAGTGCATCCGCAAGCTTGCCAAGCGCAACAGCAGTCGCATTAAGGAAAAAGTTCTGTGGCACGTTGGAGCAGGCCGAATCGGAAATGTCTCTGCAAACGCGAGCGTCTTCCTCTTCGTAAATGGCGTCGTAAACGCGTTCGGCACTCTCTTTTAATGACTGTTGGAGCATAAACCTGACTGTTTTTGCCATTTTATCTTAAGTTGTTCATTCATTAACATGACAGTCCGACAGCCAAAGGGGATTGGCATGAGATACGTGATATCCCTGGCCGCAGAACTGGGCGGTGACCTTTCGACAGTCGAATCCTCTGCAGGTTGTGAGGGATGCAGGCAATGATCAGTAAGTATGCTGACGAGCCCCGCGTCAACTGGTACCGCATACCTGTTGAACGAGATACGCTTGCAGAGCTTATGCAGCGCAGCGATTTACGCGGAGGTATACAGACCGCGGCCCACCTTGGGATGTTTTTTATCACAGGTCTGCTGGCTTACCAGGCGTTTCTGAATATTGATTCGCGCAACTGGACCTGGTCTGTTCCGCTGCTTTTTCTGGCGCTGTTTATTCACGGTACCAGTGGACCATTTATGGGGTTGGTTGCGATTCATGAGTTGCAGCATCGAACAGTTTTCCGCACGCGCGCCTTAAATGAAATTTTTGAGAAAGTTTATGCGTTTCTCAGTTGGTCAGATTACATCTGGTATCAGGAGAGTCATCGCCGGCATCATCTCACTACGTGTCAGCATGGAACGGATGGGGAAATTGAGCTGCCGCAACGATTTAATGTGCGCCGCGCTGCATTCTGGTTGAGTCTGTTTGGCTGGTACCCACGTGCTACCTGGGCGCGATTGAAGCAGACCTGGCGCCACGCACGGGGAGATATTCGGGGACAGTGGTATCAATATGTATTGCCAGCCGAGGATAACCGATTGCGCCAGCGACATCGCAATTGGGCGAGATTCCTGCTGATTGGACACCTGACGTTAGCCGCTATATTCATAGCGACAGGACATTGGTTTCTGATGGTGGTTTTTACCTTCGGCACGCAGTATTGCGCATGGCTCGGTTTTGCGACAGGCATTCCTCAGCACTTTGGTATGCAGCCGGATGTGCCCGACTTTCGCCTAAACACGCGTACGTACACGTGTTCGCCACTTGTTGGATTCTATTACTGGAACATGCAATACCATGTTGAACATCACATGTATCCGGCCGTGCCGTTCTATAACCTGCCAAAACTGCGTGCGGTACTAGAACATGATTTGCCAGCGGTGACACATGGGCTGCTGCCAACCTGGCGTTCGATCATCCACGACAGTGGCCCTGGTGCCTTCTTTCCGGAACAGGTCGGCCAATCCACAGAAAAGGTTTAACGCAGGATGTGCAGAAAATGTAGATGCTTTTCGTACTGTTCCAACAGGTCGTGTAGTACCTGTTCAGTTGTCCAGCCCATCACATCGTAATCCTGGCTGCCTTCGTTCAAATGAACTTCAGCTCTGTAGTAAGTGTGGCTGGCCTGGTCTACATCCGTCAGAAGAGCGTCCGCCGGCAATGCATGTTGATGGGCGCGAACCTGATAAACAAAATCAATTTCATCGCCATGCATGACGCTTAACGTTGCATATTTAGCATCCTCAGCGAGCTCCACCTGAGCCTGCAGGCCATGGCTACTCAGCTCTTTTGAAAAATCGACCATTGCCTTGTTCACAACTGTGCCGATGAAGTTGCCTACATCAGGCTGTCTGGGGTAGTGCAGCAGGTTGTTAAGGCGCGTCTTCCAGTCCGTTGAGTTTGCACCGCCGGTGGGTGCCATTATCGTCAGCAGTTGGGTCTGTCGTTTGGCATGGTCTACAGACAATGCCCGGTAAAAGCCCCAGATCGCTGCGAGAATGGCCAGAGAAAAAGGTAACGCGCTTGCAATCGCAGCGGTTTGCAGCGCTGATAAGCCGCCGGCCAGCAGGAGCACCAGGGCAGACAGGCCAATCATGGCCATCCAGAAAATCCGACGCGGCAGAGGGGTGTCGTCTCTCCCGTTGGAGGACAGCATGTTGAGTACCATGGCGCCCGAGTCTGCAGATGTGATGAAAAATACCATCACCATCACGATGGCCAATCCGGTAAGTACTTCGGAAAACGGGAAGCTTTCCAGAAATTTGAATAGCGCTACAGATTCATCCTGTTGCACAGCGATCGCTAGCGCTTGAGCATCCTGATGCAGGATAAGTTCAATCGCTGAATTGCCAAACACGGTCATCCACAAAAGGGTGAAAAGGGTAGGCCCGGCCAGCGCGCCAATCACAAACTCTCGCAGTGTACGTCCTCTCGAAATACGGGCAATAAACAAGCCCACAAAAGGTGCCCAGCTGATCCACCAACCCCAGTAAAATATGGTCCAACCGCCGAGCCAGTCTGTCGGCTCGTATGCGTACAGGTTAAATGTTTTGCCAACGATATCTGCCAGGTAGTCTCCGGTGTTCTGCATGAACATCTGCAGCAGAAAGACTGTTGGACCCAGGAGCAGAATGCCGATCAGCAGTGCAACAGCCAGGATCATGTTGATCTCGGAGAGACGTTTGATGCCGGCGTCCAGGCCCATGACAACAGATACTGTGGCCAGGATTGTTGTCACGACAATAAGAATGACCTGAATGGTTGCGCTTTTTGGAACGTCGAACAGAAAGTTCAAGCCGGAGTTGATCTGCTCAACACCGAAGCCAAGTGAGGTGGCCACGCCAAACGTTGTGCTGAGAATGGCAAAAACGTCGACGGCGGTGCCAATAGGGCCGTATATGCGTTCGCCGATTAATGGGTACAGTGCTGAGCGCAACGTCAGCGGCAGGCCGTGTCTGAAACCGAAATAAGCGAGAATCACAGCCACAATGGCATAGATTGCCCAGGCGTGCAGGCCCCAATGAAAAAACGTCAGTTTCATGGCTTCTTTGGCAGCCTCTACCGTGCCGCCATCGCCAGAGGGTGGATTGAGAAAATGCATTACCGGCTCTGCGACGCCAAAGAACATCAGTCCGATACCCATGCCAGCGGCAAACAGCATTGCAAACCAGGATGTCAGGGAATAATCAGGTTCCGCATGATCGGGACCTAACTTGATGTCTCCGAAGCGGGTTAACGCGATGGCAAAGGAGCTGACCAGGATAATGGCTACCACCAGGACGTAGTACCAGCTGCCGTTCACAATGATGGCACGCTGCATGTTGCCAAACAGCTCATTGGCAAAATCCGGCGCCAGAGCTGATCCGCCGATAATCAGGGTCAACAAGCTGGCGGATATATAGAAAACGGGTGCGTTGAGTGGCGCCGGAGAAGGCTGCGTATCTTGAGTTTCTTCGATATTGTTCATGTTCAGCTGAGCAGTTCCGTGCCAAGTGAGGACTTCAGGCGGTCAAGCCAGGGTTCAAAGTGTTGCCACTGTTCGACACTGTCTCGAAATATCGGCTGCCGCACCTGTTCCGAACTGGGTGTGCGCACATTCCTCTGGGTTTCATAGTAAGTCAAACAGCTGGATTCAAATTCAAGGCCGCAAAACTCCAGCATACGCCGAACTTCGCGCTCAAGATTGTCTACAACATCTTCATGATTTACGCGTAGCACTTCACCCGGTAAAACTTCGTCCCAATGCTGCATCAGCCTGACATAGTCTTTGTAATACTGACCGATGTCCTGCAGGTCATATGAAAACTCCTGCCCTTCAGCAAACAGCTGCTTGAAACCGCTGAAGCAACACCCCATCGCACTGCGGCGTGCATCTATAATTTTTGCTTCAGGCAGGATCAGTTTGATCAGTCCGATATGGCGGAAATTATTGGGCATTTTATCGATGAAAAATGGCGCGCCCTCACGATGGATACGCGTATCTTCAATATACTGCTCGCCGAACGCATGAAGTTCATCGGCGGTGAGGTCTGCGAGCACTTCAGGATAACCGCTGTGATTGGCACTTTTACGTCGTCGCAATCGTTGCGACAGAGACAGTATGTTAGGCAGTTCAAGGGTGCCGTCAATCTGGCTATGGGACGATAACACCTGTTCCAGAAGCGTCGAACCGGCGCGGGGTAAGCCGAGAATGAAGATAGGATCCGGGGCTGGAGAGCCGTGCCCCTGGTGCTGGCGGAAAAGGTCTCGTGAGCAGATCTGTATTGTTTTGTCGATTTCTTCGCTCATATGTTCTGCATCATAACGGCTTTGTGCTTTTTTCAGCTGGTTGCCGCGAGCATAGTGTTCAAATGCAGTTTCGAAAGCCTGCTGGTCTTCATAAGCCTTGCCCAGCGCAAAATTCAGGTAGATTCGATCCATATAACCCATGTTGCTGTTCTGCGCCTGCAGGTGCATCAGCTTGAGTTCGTCTTCAGTGAAGCGGTAAGTTTTAAGGTTTGCCAGTGAATAGTAGGCTTCGCCATGTGCTGGATTGTGCTGCAGAACTGCGCGATAGGCTTCAACCGCTTCGCCGCTGCGACCACAGGTTTTTAATGCATGGCCCTTGGTCGTCAAAGTGGCGGCATCAAAAGGCACCTGCTGCAGCACTTCATCAAAATAGTTAAGCGCCGTGTCGAACTCGCCTGTCTGCATATATTCAATGGCGCACAGCGAACGAAATTGAGGGTTTTGCGGGTCTGACTTCAGAAGTATCTGGGCTTGCTCAAGGGCGGCGGCAAACTTCTGACGTTTGCGCAGAATCTGTACATAGTCCATGCGCGCAGGGGTGTAATCCGGCTCGAAAGCAACTGCACTCTCAAGCAGGAATTCCGCGTCTTCCAGAACCCCTAAACGCGTGCCGATATCTGCCAGTTCACGCATACCATCAACGTTGCGAGGATTCTGTTGTAGAAAAGCCCGGCAGACCTCTTCTGCTTTCAGCAGCTTATTTTGAGCGGTTAGTTCTTTGGCGACGCGCAGTGGCTGCGGTAACTTCAGCAGTGTTGCGAGTTGCGTCTGGACGCGAATAGCAGAACGTTCTCTACCCTGTTCAGTGAGGATAGCCAGTTGTGCCCGCAGGCTTGCTTCGAGTGCCGGATTGAGCTGCAAAGCACGCGTGTAGGCGTTCAGGGCCGCATCCCATTCCTGCAGGGCGCGCCGTACGTGTCCCTCTTCCTGGTGCGCGCGGCTGTAAGAAGGGGAGAGTGTTTTGAGTTGTTCTATGGTCGCCAGAGCGCCGTGCAGATCGCCGATGTATCGTTGCGTAACGCAACGCATGTAGAGGGCTTCGGTATCCTGCGGCGATTGCCGCAGGATCGTATCCAGGTCTTCTAATGCTGCAGAAAACTCGCCGCTGCTGATCTTCTGCCTGACCTGAGCCAGGTGGTTATCAGCTTGTCCGCTGTTTTCTGCCACTCGTGTGATGGCCTAGAAGTCGTACGAAAAGCGCAAGCCTACCGTCTGCGGACGGGCGTAAGATACACGCTCGCGGTCGAAGACAAAGCTGCGTGACAGTTCCGCTTCTTCATCAAACAGATTGTCGACAAACAGCTCAGCAGACCAGGCGTCTTTGCTCAGACCCATGGTGATGCCGGCCAGCAGCCAGCTGTCCACCTCAGAGTTATTGATCACAATCACATCACTTTGTGCAGATGATGAATAAGACAGGTGAGGCATAACGTGCATTGTCACCCCTGAATCCAGGTACCAGTTATATCGAGCGCGAATATTGGCCTGGAACTCCGGAGCATAGGCAAGTTCATCTCCCTTACGTACGTCATTTGTTGGCGTGATGACTTTTGTGATTTCTGTATCCAGAATCGAGAAAGCACCACTAACGGTCAGGGCATCAGTTGCAGCCCAGAGAAAGTCCCCTTCAACACCTAAGATTTCTGCATCCGCTGCATTGTCTGAGAAAAACAGATTAGTAATGCTTGTGTCAAAGATGGTTGTCTGCAGATTTTCAATTTCGATGTAGAAAAAGCTGCCGTTCAGTCGCACGGTGCGATCGAACAGATCGAGCTTCCAGCCCGCTTCCCAGTTGACAACATCATCTGTATCCAGTGCAAAAGGAACCGTAAATCCATTGGGCCCTGGAGCGCCACCAGGTCGGTTCAACAGACCCGGACGAAAACCTTCAGACCAGGTTGCGTACAACAGGGTGTTGTCGTTAGGTGTCCAGCTCAAACTCAACTTACCAATCACGCCATCTGTCTCTGCCGCATCGGGCGCACGTAATGCGCCAACTACGGCTGCTGGTGTGGCTGGATCGTCGATATCGTCTCGTGTGTAGGTAATCCGTTGCGCCGCATCACAGCTGCCACGAAAGGTGAACTCTCCGTCGCCGTTGTACAGGTCGCTGATGTCCGTACCAAAGGCATTTGCATCCTCGGCGGCACCAGAGTTACAGAAAGAGCTGTTGGCGCTGCCGTCGAAGTCCACTTCGATGTCATACCAACGCGCGCCTGCTGTAATTGCCCAGGATTCGTTGATGTCCCAGGTGACCTCACCGAAGGCGCCTTTCTGCTCGTCGGTTCTTCTTACGTCGTTACGAAATATGACGCCTGCCGGGAATGCGCCAGTTTCCGAGCGATAGCCGGTATCAAACGCGAAGTTTGGTGCAAATGGTCCAAACGGGGCTGCGGCGACAGAGCCAGGGTAGGTGAAATCGTTTAGCTCGGTAAGTTCCAGGTCGCTGTAAAAAAGCCCGCCTGTAAATCGAACAGGGTGTTCAATCGGTGTGACAATGCGAATCTCGTGAGACCAGACTTCTGTTTCGGTGCTTGAATTAACAAACAGATCAGGTGCCTGACACACACCGCTGGGTGCCGCAGCACCTGGGTAGCTGACGGAACCATCACAGATGTAGTAAGGCAGATACTGGCCAACAAACAGGTAGTCGGTGTAGTCGACGGTCTGATCGGTGTCGCGATCTGTGAAAGCGCCGGTATAAAGCACTTCCAATGCACCAACGCGACCTTCAATGGTCCAGTTGGTGTTGGTAAATTCATCTTCGATTTTATCATCGGAGAAACGCTGGATTTCCATGTCGCCTAGATCAGGGTCTGCAAAGAACACCCCGTCCGAATCCAGTGCCTGTTGCATCACCGATGCACTGGCAGTCCAGTTTTCGTTGATGTCCCACAACGCACTTAAACGCCCGCCCTGGTATTTTGTTTCGTTGATGTTGTCCTTTACGCTTGAGTTGGCCTCGAGGAAAGTGACATCACTCAGATCTGCGCCGGCTTGAAAGCCTGCACGGCCGCCAACAAGCTCGCCGTTGTCGCGAACGGTGTCTGCGGTACGGAAACGTGCACTCTCGCTAACATCACGAGTGCCCGCTACGCTATCAATGTAACCACCCTGAGTGTCCGTGTAGCCAACTGCGCGCAGCGCAAAATTGTCGGCGATCGCCCAGTTCAGTACAGCTTCCAGTTTTTTGCTGGGATCGCCACCTTTGGTGAAAGACGTGCCCAAATCAACGCTGCCGTAGGAGCCGGTTGGATCGGGTTTGTTGGTGATCAGGCGCACGTTGCCCGCCTGCGAGCTGGCGCCGAACAGGGTGCCCTGGGGGCCGGACAGCACCTCTATCCGGTTCATATCAGCGGTGTAGACGTCCAGGTTGCGTCCGGGTTGAGACAGCGGCTGTTCGTCCAGATAGAACGCAACATTAGGTGCCAGACCGGCAACACCCGCGGTTGTGAGGTTGGGCGTTGTTGAGGCGATGCCTCGAATATAAATCGTATTCTGGCCCGGGCCACTGCCACCAGCGGTAACACCCGGCAGCTGGACCAGATAAGTCTCGAAGTTAGTGATGCCCAGGTCGTCCATGGCTTGTTCGGTCAATGCCTGCACCGCAACAGGAATGTCCTGCATGGGCACTGCGCGTTTGGTAGCGGTGACGACAACCTCTTCAATGGCGCGGGATTCCTGACCGGTTGCGTATCCTGCCACCATGGTGGCGACTGCTGCGGTCACGGCTCTGCTGATTTTGCTTCGTTGTATTTGCAAAAGATCTCTCCAATTTATTTAGCCTCGAAACTATTATTTTTCAGTTTCGTGAACTTTATCGAGGTGCGGGCGCGGGCAGGGTAACAAATCTTCCCAAAAAATGCATTCAGCTCTATTGGTTTATTTGGCGCTTATCCGGATTGATAGCCTGCAGACGGTGCAGAGAGAAAAGTTGCCGGCGTTCCGCTGTGGGTTTAAAGATAGAAGCGGGGCCTCAGAGCAGGGTGTACCTGCTCTTGATGTTTAATCCCTGTTCTTGCCCAGGCCGGGGATCACCATGCCAACCTGACGCGAATACTCTTTATAAACCTCGCCAAGGTTGTCTTTGAGGTCGCGCTCTTCGTATCGAATGCCCACGATGATGTAGATCGTCATGCCTGCTGCGAATAACAGATGTCCGTAAGTCATATCCGGGGTAGCCCAGAACGCGAGCAGGAAACCCGTATAAATTGGATGGCGTACAAGTTTGTAAAATAGAGGCTGTCGGAAGGTTAATGCCGGCAAGCTGCGGTTGCGTAGATCGCTCCATATCTGATGCAGGCCAAACAGTTCGAAATGGCTGATCAGGAATGTAGATATAAAAACTATGCCCCAACCTGATGCTGCGATTGCCCAGATCACTGTGCGAATAACGTCTCCTTCCAATGACCAGAGTACGCCGGGTATAGGACGCCAGAACCAGTACATCAGACACAGCACCACGCCGGTGAGCATGACGTACAGGCTGCGCTCGATGGCTTGTGGCCAGAAGCGAGTCAACGCTGCTTTGAAAGCCGGGCGGGCCATGATGCTGTGTTGAATGCCAAACAGGGCAATTAAGCCAATATTGATAAGAACAGCCTGCCAGGTCCCCGCTATGGGGCCTACATTGATGCTGCGAGGTACGAGTTGATTTGTCATAAATCCGATGAGGTAGACAAATGTAACGAAAAAGAAAAAGTAGGCGGTGACGCCAAACAGAAATCGAAGTGATCGTGCCATGATCTCCCCCTCATGAAACGCGTTCCCGCAGGCTAACAGGTAGTTATCGTTGAAGCCATCATTGTTAGGTACGTCGCAGTCATGTCAGTAAACGTAACTCTGGCAGGGATGATGGTTCTTGTATACCGTTCGGTTCCAACCTGCAGGAGCACACAGATGCCAAAAGAGCTGTTTCATCTTGACATCCAAGAAGTAGAGGAAGTCCACACATTGCCGGGTATGTGGCCACCGGAGAAGCTCCAGAAGGTTTTGTCGCTTGCGGAGTACGATGATGTTGTAGATGAGATGGAACTGCTCGATATGGCGGTTCTCGTGCTGCAGGATTTTGAAGAACAAGAAGCCGGTGAGATTGTTCTGCAAGCCGTGTTCGGCGACAACATGAGTTCTGGTGTGAGAGAGAATCTGGTTAATGACCTCAAAGATGATCGGCCCTGGGAGCAATTTTCCAGAGTGAATCAACAGGTGGGTGTGTTTGAGGCGGTCGTATTGCTCCAATTAGCCTTTCCTCGCCGTTACGGCGTGCCTGATGCTTTGCGTATTCAATTGAAAGTAGCAGCAACAGATGCGCAGACCAGTAGGTGGTTAACAAGTGCGCCAAGCGCTTTACTACTCCTGCGACTATTGGCCACAGCGATGGATGATGATGCGGTGCTGAAACGACTGTACGGGCAGGAGATGCAGGTGAAAGATTTTCCGCATGCAGAGGCAATTTTGTGGCGGGTCCAGACTCTGAGGTTGTACCAGGAAACTCAGGGTGCCGTTTATGTCTGCGACATCTATTCAGCGCACCAATGGCTCTCGCCGTTGGTTGAAATGCAAGCCTGGCAGGGCGTTGCCACGCCTGAGTGAGCAGGATTTGTTCAGGGTCGTTTAGGAGGCGCGTTTCTCAGTTGCCGCGCTTCAACCATCTCTTCTGCCGCTCGAAAAGCTTCCAGGCACAATATGTGATAGTGGTGTCGCAGGCTGTCATCATCCTCGTCCAGACGGGCAATCAACCCCGATAGGGCGGCTGCGGCACAGAAATCGCGGTACTCAATGTCGTTCATCGATTCATCCATTTGTTGAATTCGAGAACTTTGCCAAGCCATTAGCGATAAAGCAATCAGGGGTGTCTAACTAGGGAACTTAGCCTGGTAGTCGTGTATCGCTGCGGCGAGTAGGGTAGCTGCTCTGCCGTGGCCAAACGGGTCCCCGATTTCAGCGGTATTCAATGAAGATTCCTGGATCAGGTAGTGACATATGCGTTCCATCATATAGATCGGCACTTCACTGATGTCCTGGTATGCACCAAATGCCGCGTCTCTGTGTAGAACGGCAATGAGTTTATCATCAACGTAATTTTCATCCCGCACCGGAATGCCCCCGACTAGGCGAACCTGCGCTAAAACGCCAGGTACCTCAATCGGACGTTCGCTGAGCACAAATACATCTAGTGCAGCGCGATCTCCACGCAATCGAGCATTCAGCTGGGCAACTTTTGCGCCACAAAGTGTCCGCGGAACGAATCCGTAGGCTGCGGGTGGTAATGCTGAAGTCTCTTGTGGTCGATCTACTTTCAAAAGACCGCTGCTGGTGTCCAGCTCATACTTGATTTTTGTGTGTGATGTATTTTCTATATAGACGACGAGGCCATCAGATCCAACGGTCGGGTTAACGCCGTGCCAAGGGTGCGCCTGTCTGTATGAATAATCGTTCAGTGCATCTACGTTTGATTCTGACATCTTTCTAGGACCTTTTTGACTTCAATAGATTGTGAACGTCAGGCTGTTGTTGCGGGTTGTTCATCGTGTGGTTCGAACCAGATGGTTGCGATCTGGTCGTGGATCTTCAATAACTCGAGCTGCAGACGATCGATGTCTTCGTGCAGTGTATCTCTGACCAGGCCGCGTAGGCTCATCCCGTTAAGTACGTCCAAGGCGTTCTGGATGGATTGAGTCACCTTTTCGCTTCTTGGAAGTTTCTCCGCACATGCTTGCGCTTCGAGAAGGCAGTGTGTGAGGGTGCGCGGGAAATCTTTATTTGCGAGTAGAAAGTAGAGGACGCGAACCGGCGTGAGGCGACTTTGCACTGACAAGCGATAGGCTTGATATGCGCTCAGTGAGCGTAATACGTTAACCCACATTGAGATGACATTCTCCGCGCCCATTTGCTCCTCCTGTTTAAGCAAATCAGAACCCATGTCGAGAATTCTGGTGGTCATGTCACCCCGTTCCAGGTTTCTGCCTAAACGAATGAAGTGGTACGCGGCGGTTTGATTCATCGTGCCTGACAAGAGTCCGGTAACAAGCTGACAGCGTTCAATCACCTCGTTGAGTATGGCAAAGCGGTTTTTACGCGACCCGGCTTTTTCCAGTTTTGCATTGGCGAACAAATACAGCTCGTTTACTGTTTCGAAAGCCTCTTTTGGTACAACTTCACGTAGCGTGCGCAGATTTTCGCGGGCAGATTTGATCGAATTTAGAATAGAGCCTGGACACTGTTTTTCTGCACACAGAAAACGAACAGCATTTTTTTCCAGGGGCTTGTAGTTCAGCTTGCGGAACTCTTCGCCCGTACCGCTTACTTCAATCAAATTTGCCCAGTCACTTTTCAGATCGCTAGGTAAGTCCAGTGAAAGGTTGGTATAAGCTTGAATAAGGCGAGCGGTATTCTCAGCTCGCTCTAGGTAGCGTGCTACCCAATAGGCACGATTTGCCAACGACGATAGCATCTTAACGTTCTCCCACAATCCAGGTGTCTTTGCTGCCGCCGCCTTGACTTGAGTTCACGACCAGAGAACCTTTGCGCAGTGCGACCCGTGTGAGCCCCCCTGGTGTTACCCAGGAATCTTTGCCTTGCAGGATAAAGGGGCGCAAGTCCAGGTGTCTTGGTTCGATGGTCTCTCCTGCAATGGTTGGGGCGGTTGAGAGTTGCAGGGTTGGTTGGCCAATATAGTTTCTAGGATTCTCTTTGATCAGTTTGCGAAATTCTTTGATTTCTGCCTGTGTCGCAGCAGGCCCAACCAACATACCGTATCCACCGGATTCGTTTGCGGGTTTAACAACCAGCTCGCCGAGATGCTCTGTTACATATTTCAATTGTTCGGCATCACCACATCGATACGTGGGTACGTTAGCAAGAATTGGCTCTTCCGTTAGGTAGAAGCGGATGATGTCTGGTACGTAGCTGTAGAGTACTTTGTCATCCGCGACGCCTGCTCCTGGTGCGTTTACTAATGCGACATTGCCCTTAGCCCAAGCAGAGAAGAGGCCTGGTGTACCCAGTTTACTTTCAGGGTTAAACACTTCTGGATCCAGGAATGCATCGTTTACCCGTCGGTAAATGGTATCAACGCGTTTGAGACCTTCGATATTACGCATGTAAACAATGTCGTTTTCGACAATCAGGTCTGAGCCTTCAACCAACTCTGTGCCCATACGTTGAGCCAGGAACGAGTGTTCGAAATAGGCTGAGTTAAAAACGCCGGGTGTCATGACAACGATTTCAGGATCATCCTGGTCACGAGGCGAAACCTCTACCAACATGTCGAACAGTTGATGTGGGTAAGCATCCACAGGGCGAATCGGTACGTTACTGAATAATTCGGGGAAGACGCGTTTCGTAACGGCTCTGTTTTCAATCATATACGAGACACCTGAAGGTACCCGCAGATTGTCCTCCAGCACGTAAATAGTGCCATCACCGTCTCGAACCAGGTCTGAACCACAAATATGCGCCCAGACGCCGTGTTTTGGATTGATGCCAACACACTGGGGCAAGAAGTCTTTGGATGACGCCAACAGGTCTGCCGGTACGATGCCTTCTTTCACAATCCGCTGGTCGTGGTAGACATCGTCGATAAACATGTTTAGTGCTTTAAGGCGCTGAGTCAGACCTTGCTGTACTGTCGCCCACTCGCCAGCGTCGATGATTCGAGGAATAATGTCCATCGGCCACGCACGATCGATATTTTCACCTTCTGAATAAACAGTGAAGGTAATACCCATCTCGATTAGGGCTTTTTCCGCAGCTGTCTGTCGTGACCTGATCTGTTTGTTGGTCAGTCGACCAATGTAGTTGGCAACTTTTGCTGCAGCCTCGCGTGGCTCACCGCCAGGCATGATGAGTTCGTCGTAGAAATCATGCGCGTTGTATTCTTTCCAATCCATGCAAACTCTCAGTTTTTCAAAATCTAAATTGGCGGACAAGTATGGCGTAAATGTGGCTCGATCTCTTCATCGAGGTCGAATCATCAGGCAATCGCAGGAAACTTCATGAAGAATGCTGTTGCTTGTCGAGCCAATGGCCCAGCCGACGCCTCTGTTTTCTCCAGAGCCGATGATCAGAAGATCAGCATCAAAGTCTCGTACGAGACTGTCTAAAGTGTTAGGAACACTTTCCAGCTCGGGGACAACTTCCATCGTCTGCCATTTAGACTTCGCTAAAAACTGATGGGAGCGTTTGACCATCGCATCAGTGCTTTTGGAGGTTACACACACGACGCGCACATTATGCGGATCAATGTCCGCATCAGTGACAACTTGTGCGCTTCTGGACAGCACATCCTCGGTAACTTCTGATCCGTCGATGGCGACAACAACACGTTCGATCTTGTTTTGCGGGTCCTCTCGATGGCAAGCATAGACGTCCACGCCTTCCGCAGCTCTGAGTACGTCGGTTGTGGTGGTGCCAAAAAGCCTTTCCATATTGCGACGCTTGCGGGCGCCAATGACGATAAGGTCACCTGAGCGAATTTCTGCAACGTGAGCAATGACATCGCCAGGTTCGCCGACAATAACATTTGTATCTATCTGCCGTTCGGTCAGGGCGTTTAATCTCGATACCAGGGCGTTCCGCGCATCTTTCAAGAGCACATCACGCTCCACAATCTGCGCATCAAAAAAGCCCTTGGCGAGTAATAATTCTGGCCGCACGGCGGCGACCAGGTGCAATTCTGCGGCATTCTCACTGGAGATCCGCAAGCCGGTGATAACGGGTGTGTCGGACCCTCGCTCGATGTCTAACGCTGCAATCAGTGATTTGTAGGGCTTCGCTGAGGATGGATCCAATGTCGTACTCTATTCTGCGCCCGAAGAATTGTTAAGCGCGCGCTCTATTGGTGTGCGGATTGTTGGAAGCTTACGTTACAACCGTGCACAAATAACAGTTATATCTAAAAAAGGGCGTTGCCAATGTGGCGGTGCGTCGCGTCCTGCTGAAAGTGTGTGCTGTCCCGGTCTTGGTGCAACATATCCTCTAATCGCACAACTCTGGCGCATTACCAGATTGATTGCCTGGCGGTAGATCGTTCTTCGCAGCGGCATCGAAGCGCAGGACTGCGCGCTCAGCGTATTGCGGAAGGACGCGGGCCCATTTCTTGCAGTGCTTGTTGGGCTTTTTGAACAGGTGAGAACAACGTGCTGATAAGAAAAAACAAAATGAACAGAGGTGTCTTTGCGCTTGCTGGTTTGGTACTGCTAAGCGGATGCTCGCCGTCGATTCCGGATGAAACAGCTGCTACAGAGGTGGTTGAATCCAGCCCAATTGTCGAGCCTGCAACGGTTTCTCCAACGCCAACCTCCACAGAAGCGAGTCTGGTGCCAGCTGAATTTGATGTACCGACTCTCGTGGAGGCTGATGGATTTCAACTTGTGCCGCTTGGGCCTGAACTGGTCAAAATTGATTTTGACGCTTATATGTCGTCGATCGAGCATCTACAACAGACCTTTACCCGCAGCACCAGTTGGCCCAGGGCTGGCATAACGGATGCGGAAGCGATGCTGGATATGGAAACTGAGCAGAGTCGCTTTCAGAATCGTGAGTCGTTTGCCTACGCTGTGCTGACCCCTGATGGTTTGCGTGAAAGAGGATGTGTGTATGTCCGGCCAAGTTCCAAACAGGGTTTCGATGCTGAAGTTCTAATGTGGGTGACAAAAGCGGAATTCGACGCAGGCTTTGATGCGGAGCTATATCGTTGGGTCACCCAGTGGGTTGAGGATGTCTGGCCGTTGCAGAATGTCGCCTATCCTGGTCGCGCGATTGAATGGCAGGCATGGGATGCCATGGCTACAGTAGCGGTGTCGGATGTCGAGTCTGATGTCTCGCAAGCTCAAAATCTGCAGACTGCAGAAGGCTTTATTGATGCGTTCTATTCTTTTGATCCCGCTCAGCTTACGCCCTTCCTTGCGCACGCTGATGACTCAGCACCAAGAATTCTGTACTACCAGGGCTGGGCCGAAGGTGGCAATTACAAGGTGCTCAATCGGGCAGCTTGTCAGCCTGATACGCCAGAAGTGTTGAGTTGTGCCATCACCGTGCAGGACGATCCTGTACTGGCCCTTAAAACAGGCTTCAACGTGACGGACACGTTTGCTCTGACATTCGAGGACGGGCACATAGTGTCGATTGAAACCAGTTCTAACGATCAGCCTATCTACTATGAGGCGCGCAAGTGGGTGGTCGAGAACATGCCGGAGGTTATGACAGGTCCTTGCAAAGACCGCAATAATGGTGGCAAGACGCCCGGTGACTGTGCTCGCGCGATGACCGCAGGTTACGCGAAATACTATGCCACCGTGGTGGCACCTGGTTCTGCTGAGTTATGAAGCCGTTGGACTGATCAAAGCAACCGCTTGACCGGCTTCAACCGGCGTACCGGCGCTCGCCAGAATTGTCTCTACCAGCCCTGAGGTAGAGGCAAGCACCTCAATTTCAGTCTTCATAGACTCAATGATCATCACAACGTCGCCTACACTGACACTTGCGCCTGCTTCGGCCATAACCTTCCACACGGATCCAGTAACGGGGCTCTCCATGGGGGTTCCGCTCGCATCATCGGCAACGGTTTGAGCAACTGGTGGCGGGGGTGTCGACGTCGGGTCGTAGCCCTGTTGTGCCCAGCGTCCGCGCTCCGCTTCAAAAGCAACGTGCTGGCGTGTCTGAAACGCCTCGATACTGTGGGCTTCTCGAGTTAGAAAGGCTTCATGTTCAGCCATGCTGAATTCTGTTTGTTCAATTTTCAGAGGTGCGCGACCCAAAGGGAAATCCCGTCGCAACTCCATTAATTCCTCGTTGGATACCTCGTAGAAACGCAGCTGATCAAAGCCGCGTAATAACCATGGGCGTTCGAACGCGCCGTCAGTACGGTAGCGATTCCATACCTGGATAGTGCGGCCTACAAACTGATAGCCGCCAGGACCCTCCATGCCATAAATACACAGGTAAGCCCCGCCGATGCCGACAGCGTTCTCAGGTGTCCACGTGCGCGCCGGATTGTATTTGGTAGTGACCAGTCGATGGCGTGGATCGATGGGCGTCGCTACTGGAGCGCCCAGGTAGACATCACCCAGCCCCAGTACCAGATAGCTGGCATCGTAGACGATTCTTTTAACTTCGGCCTCGTCAGTCAGGCCGTTGACACGTCGGATGAACTCGATATTGCGCGGGCACCAGGGTGCATCAGCCCTAACAGATTGCATGTATCTTTCGGTGGCTTCCTGGGTTGCCGGGTCATCCCAGGCAAGGGGTAAATGTACAATGCGTCCCGGGATTGTCAGGTCGCGGGTTTCGCCGATCGCTGTGAGCCCATCATCAATAAGTTGCAGGAGTTGGCTGCGGTCTGCGCCGATGGGGATTCGAAACTGTAGTGAGCGTATGCCGGGCGTCATTTCGAGTATGTCGGGATCAGCTTGTTGTTCCAGCCATCGCTGCAGGGCTTCAACACGCAGGCGTGACGCCAGGTCCAGTACCGGTGGGCCAAACTCCAGCAGCAGAAAATTGTCGCCCGCAGCGCGGATAACAACATCGTGACGGCTGTTGGTTTCCAGAATCACATCTTGCGCGCCTGCTCGCCAGGACTTGATTGCAGGTGTGCTCGTGTGTGGTTCGGTGAGAAGACTCTGAGACTCTTCAAGCGAAATAGGTTGAAAAGTAATGCTATCGCCTGGTCGTAGTTGCCCCAGTTTCCAGCGGTCTGCTTCTGCGATGGCGGCTGGACAGACAAACCCGCCCAGGCTGGGGCCATCTGGACCAAGAATAATGGGCATATCACCGGTGAAGTCGATAGCGCCAAAAGCGTAGGCGTTGTCATGGACGTTCGATGGATGCAGGCCAGCGTCACCCCCGTCCAGGCGTGCCCAACCGGGTTTTGGTCCCTCCAGACGAATGCCGGTGCGTGAAGAGTTGTAATGCACCGTCCAGGGTGTGCTGTAGAAGAGGTCAAGAAAATCACTATTGAGAAAATCAGGTGCGATGTGTGGTCCCTGTACAACTCGAAGCAGGGTGCGCTCAGTCAACGAATGTGCGGGGCGCGTGCCAGGGTGGGCTGAGTCTGGCTGCGTTCCGATCGCCAGGATGTCGCCCGTTCGCAGGGCACGCCCGGCGTGACCACCAAAAATTCCCAGATCAAAGGTTGCCTGACTGCCAAGCACCAGCGGTACGTCGATGCCGCCACTGATCGCAAGATACGCGCGCAACCCTTCTCCATCTGCTGCGATTCTGCCAATTTCGAGGGTCTGGCCAGCTTTAATATGGAACGCTGCATCGTGGGCGACGATCGCGCCGTCGATAGTCGCTTGTGTTGATGCGCCGCACAAAGCCGCTGTTACTTCGCACGTGAAGTGCAGGGTAGGGCCGTTGGCAAGCATCTCCAAACCAGCCGTATTCGCTGTGTTATTGACAAGTGCGTTAGCCCGGGCCATGGACCGGCTGTCGAAAGCACCCGACGGTGGTACGCCCACATGCCAGTAGCCGGTGCGACCGTCAACGTCCTGAACACTGGATTGTGTTCCCGGAGCGAGCACTTCGAAACTGCGCGCAGACAGTTCTACGGTGGTCGTGCTGTTAGTGGTCTGATGGCCATTGATAAAATCCGGCAAAGCAAGTGCTTCACGCAGGAAGGCTAGATTAGTCTCCAGGCCGTCTACGCGGGTATGCCGAATAGCGTTGCGTAGACGTTCGCGAGCTTGTTGACGGTCCTGACCATGAGCAATGATCTTGGCGAGCATGGGATCAAATGCGGCAGGCACGGTGAGTCCGGATTCAATCCAGGTGTCGATGCGCAGGCCGGTTTCTTCAGCAGGCCATGACAAGGCACTGATGAGTCCGGGTGCGGGCCTGAAATCACGCATAGGGTCCTCGGCGTATAAACGCACCTGGATAGCATGGCCCTGTACATCGGGTTCATGCATGAAGTCCTGTTCTCCTTGTGCAAGGCGTACCATCCATTCGATCAGATCAATACGAGTAACCAGTTCGGTCACGCCATGTTCGACCTGCAGGCGTGCATTGACTTCCAGAAAGTGAAAGTCCTGCCGGTCTGCGTCATATAGAAATTCAACCGTTCCCGCAGATCGGTAGGCAATGCGTTCCATCAGCCGTCGCGCGGCAGCATGCATCGCGCTGCGCACATTGCCTGGTAGCGTTGGCGCTGGCGCTTCTTCGATGACTTTTTGATTGCGGCGCTGCATGGAGCAGTCACGATCGCCCAGAATAGCTATGCCACCTTTGCCGTCGCCAAAAACTTGAACCTCAACATGACGCGCGGATTCTACAAAGCGCTCGACAAATAATCGGCTGTCACCAAAACTGCTGGCGGCCTGGTTTGCCACAGCCTCGTAAGCTGCACGAAGCGTATCAGCGTCCGCGCAGGCGCGCATGCCGATACCGCCGCCCCCAGCACTGCTTTTAAGCATGACAGGCCAGCCAATAGACTCAGCGGTGGTTAGCGCATGATCGAGGGAGGCAAGCAAGCCGGAACCAGATAGAAGAGGGACATCAGCCTCCTGCGCTAACCGTCTGGCTTCGTGTTTTAAGCCGAATGCTTCAATCTGTGTCGGCGTTGGTCCCAGGAAAAGGATGCCGGCCGCCTCGACGGCCTCAGCGAAACTAGAGTTTTCTGAAAGAAAGCCATAACCCGGGTGGATAGCATCGACTTTGAATCTGGCTGCAATCTCAAGCAGCTTTGCAGAATTGAGATATGTGTCGCTGGCGCTGCCCTCGCCAAGGCTCACGGCGTAGTCTGCATCGGCCACGTGCAGGGAAGCTCGATCTACCTCAGCGAACACGCTGACACTCTGGATGTTCATATTCTTCAAAGTGCGTTGGATACGGGTAGCGATCGCACCGCGGTTTGCGATAAGTACACGTCGAATCGGAGTTGTCATAAAAGGCTCAAAATAGTTGCCGTGGGCTGGTGTCAGTTGTGGGTATAGATCTCAAATTCGACAGGGGTCGGATCAAAGCCGCTGCAGGGATTGTTAAGCTGCGGGCAGTTGGAAATCAGTACAAGAACGTTCATGTGTGCAACAAGCTCAACGTACTGCCCTGGACCTGAAATACCATCGGCGAATGATAAGCCGCCTTCCGGTGTGATGGGTACGTTCATGAAGAAGTTGATGTTGCTGCCAATGTCACGTTTGGTTAAGTCATCACTCCAGGCTAAAAGTGCGTGCAGGAAGTTATCCCGACAGCTGTGCATGAATTTTTTTTCGTGTGCGTAACGAACTGTATTGCTTTCAGAGGCACAGGCACCACCCAACGTGTCGTGTCGTCCTACGGTATCTTCGACGATGGTCAGCATCGCCTCGTTTTCAGTGGATAAAAGTGTTGATCCTTTTGTCAGATAAACGTTGCGTTGAGCGCGGATGGTGTCCACAGCAGAGTAGCGTTCGATCGGGTTGTCGGCATTAAAAAAGAAGGCATCAACAGCTTCGTTGCCTTTAGTGTCTACAATTCTGCAATGTTGTCCTGCTTCTATTCGTGCCAGAAACGGTTCGCCGGCGCGAATGACTGTGCTCGATAGCTGTTTGAGATCGCTCATGCTTGTATACCTTCTGAGGGTTGAGCAAACCAGGCTTCGCTGTTGCGAAAGCCACGTTCGTTTTCCGGTCGTGAGAGTCGGCAAGGGTCGTCTGCTGCGGGGGAGCCGGTCCAGTGGACCGACAACACAACGTCGCCGTCAGGATAGGTGTCATAAGTTGCCAATGGATGTGGTGCGCTGTTTATTGCCACCAGGCAATTTAATTCGGCGCGTAGGTCAACGCTGGAACCAGGTGGTGAGTTATCGGCAACAAATGACATATTGCCTTCATCATCGGTTACCACCCGGCTGAACAGATTTACATTTGCAACCAGATCCCTTCGTGACAATCCCCAACGACCCAGTTCTACCAGGAACCCATCGCGGCCATTGCGTTGGTAACCATTGCGGGCAGTTTGGAAATCCAGTTCACCATATTGTTCCGCTATCATTGCTGCAGTGGTAGTGCCACAGATCGTGTCATGCCAGCCGCAGTCGTCGTGGGTCATGGACATCAGCACCCGTCCCATATCTGAATACAGAACCAGCGGTGCCGCAAGATGGGAGACATGCTGCGCCTTAAGCGTGTCCGCCATGTTGTAGCGCTCGCTTTTCTCATCCTGGTTGAAAGCAAGCAAGCCCACGTTGGCACCGCCGCTGATATCGGTCAGGCGCAGTGTATAGCCGCGCCGCACAACCAGAGAGAAGTGACATCCCGCTGGCAGGCGTTCCTCCAGCACTGCGGGGCCTAAGTTTGGAATTGAATGGGTGTCTGTCATGGGGTTTTCTCAACGTCATCAAATGCTGGGTCCGGCGTGTTTGCTGAGACCTTGTGCAGGGGTAAATCAAAAGTGATTTGCGCGCCGGGTTGCTTACCTTCTTTTAGCGCCGGTTTATCGAGTACAAGCATCCGTGTACCCAATCCAAAAGCTTCGGGTAAGTCATGTGTGACCATGACCACGGTCATGTTTGTGCCCAGCCACAGTTCACGCATTAATGCGTGCATGGCGCTTCGGTTGCCAGGGTCGAGGGCGCCGAATGGTTCATCCAGCAACAGCAGTGGTGGCTGTCGTGCGATAGCCTGTGCAAGCGCCAGGCGTTGTTGCATACCCCCGGAAAGTTGCGCCGGATATCGATCAGCGGCATCAGCTAAACCAACAGCTTCTAACAGTGCCAGTGCTTGTGCACGAATCGCGCGTCGCCGAGCGCCGAAACACCAGCCGAAGATCCGATCTCCATCTCTCAGTTCAAGCCCCAGGCGCACGTTCTGTGCAGCGGTCAGATGTTGGAATACGGAATATCTCTGGTAAACGATGCCGCGTTCGGTTGAAGGCTCTGAGGGCAACGGTTTGCCGTCGAGCAGAAGCTTGCCAGAGGTAGGTGCTTCCTGGCCTAACAAAAGCTTAAGCAGAGTGCTTTTACCGCAGCCAGATGCGCCAACGATGGTACAGAACTCCCCGGAAGCAAGGTCCAGGTTGATGCCGTCTAATACGACCGTGTCATCGTAGGACTTGTATAAGTCCTGAATTTGCAGGTGACTCATGGTTGCGGTTCCGCCTTGTCTTCAAGGGCCTGCCAGGGAAAGATCATGTCTTTCAATCTACGCAGGCCATAATCTGTCAACCACGCCAGCAGGGTGATCCAGGCGACATAGGGCAGAATGATGTCCATCGCCAGGTAGCGGCGCACCAGAAAGATTCTGTAACCGAGGCCCTCAGTTGCAGCGATCGCTTCAGCAGCAATCAGGAACAACCAGGCCGCTCCCAGCGAAAGTCTTACGCCGTCTAACAGGCGCGGCATCATCTGCGGCAATACCACCCGCCACAGCGTGCGCCAGGTACCGGCGCCAAGCGTCTGCGCTTTGATTAATTCTTCCATCGGCATTTCGCGGATGCGTGCTTCGAGATCTCGGGCAATAAACGGCCCTACACCGATGGCAATCAGCACCACTTTTGATAATTCGTCGATCCCGAGCGCAATAAACAGAATGGGCAGCAGAGCAAGCGGTGGCACCATGGCAATGGCTGCGAGAAATGGCGACAGAGATGCTCTGGCCAGAGGGATCAGGCCAGCCAGAACGCCAAGAAGAAGGCCCAGAGATGCTCCGGTTCCCACCCCGGCGGCCAGCCGTTGCATGCTTGCCATCGTGTCGGTCCAGAAGAGGTAGTTCCCGGTGCGCCGATCTTCTGTAAATGCCATGGTATACATTGAATTGCCCATGGTGCTGAAACTGGGCAGCATTCTGTCCTGGGCGTTCTCGGCAAGGCGGGCGCTGGAAGAGATCTGGTAGAAAACAAGCAGCGCAACGAAAGGCAGCAGTGTCAGTACGGTGCCGAGCCAGCGCGTTGGCCTCTGGTTGATCAGGCGACGCATAATTTTACTTCTTTGCCTGGTGTCAGCAGATCAGATGTCATCACGGTGCAGGTTTGTTTGCATCGGGTGCCATAAAACGATTGGTAAACCGAAGCTGCACGTTTTGTTCATTCCCCCAGATGGCACCGTCGGCGAACTCGATGCCAACAAATCCGGCATTGGGTGCCATCGGGCCAAGCAGCCCTTTGTCGTAGGAAAATTCAGCAACGCGTTGCATGGTTTGTTGTGGCGCGTCACTGTTTACAAAGGCGATACCGTCTGCGGGTTCCGCAAACATGTGGGTAGTGGACAGCTGTCGCTGGAAACTGGCGAGGGTTGTGCCGGATGCAGCGGCCATGTGTTGCTGAACAGCCGCACTGGTCTCTTCAGCGAGCATCTGCGTGACGGCTTCATACCAGGCGCCTGCCAGCGCATAGCCGAGCTCCGGGTGCGCAGCCAGTGTCTGCGTGTTGACAATGGTCAGATCCAGTATTTCGCCGGGTATCTGGCTGGAATCGAAGACCACGTTTGCAGACGGCATATCACGAATTTCGGCAAGCATGGGGTTCCAGGTCACGACCGCAGGCACGCCGGTGCCTGCCCAGGCGCTGACCATATCTGCATCAGATGTGTTAACCAGGGTAATGTCGCGTTCGGACAGGCCCACTGAATCCAGCGCCCGCGCAAGCAGATAGTGAGAAACGGAAAGTTCGACCAGATGCACCCGTTGATTTTCAATAGCGTCCAGCTGTTTGTTATCACGTAGTACAACCGCATCATTGCCATTGGAAAAGTCGCCGACGATAACCGCGGTACTGTCAACGCCACTTGCTGCAGCGATGGTGAGAATGTCCATATTCGTGGCGGTCACTGCATCAAATTGTCCTGCGGTGTACTGGTTGACAGATTCGATGTAGTCATTGATCTGCACTATGTCTATTTCGATACCATAACGATCGGCCCAACGGTCAACGATGCCGGTAGCATCGGCATACTCCCAGGGCATCCACCCCACATATATTGACCAGGCCAGAGTAAAGCGTGGCTTTTCTGCTGCCATTGCACCGGTGCAGAGCAGGCAGAAAAGCAAGGTCGCCAGGAGTTTTGATATCGCGGGCATGTTGAACAGTCCTTCCGTGTTAAGCGCGTTCTTTTCTGGTGCGTTTTTATGCATCGAGAAAATCAGCGCCCTTTATTAGTGCTTATGTCAGGCGTTAAAAACCGCTAGATACTCGTCATGCAGGCGAGCTATCGGGGCTTCGTGATCCATGGTCATCGGACCTACGGCAAACGCATCGGATTGCACCGTTGCCTGGAGGCGTTCTGTCATACCCGCATCCTCAACTTCGGTGATTTCCTGGAATGCTTGCAGCATGATCTGTGCCATCTCTGTCGAAGTGACCTGTTCTGGTTCAACAAGCGCTCGAAAGTGCATCTGTGTTCGGTTCGGTGCCAGTGGCATAACCAGGCCGGTCGCGAAGTAAGTCGCGCCGGTGAACAGGGTCAGGTTGGGAAAAAGCAGGTGCGCGCCGTTCTGTTGCTGGCGTTCGGACAGACCGCCTATAGGTTTGAGCTCTGGTGTCATGCTGCTGGAGCCTGGCCGCGTAGGTTCGAATGAAGCCCAATGCGCGCCAGATTGCAGCATCTCACCCTGATGATGCTCCCACATCCGTAAACTCTTCGGATGGGTGTACCACAGGTGATACCAGTCGACGTGGTTCTCAACGTAAAACTTCCAATTGGCGGCGAATTCGAAGGTCCCCTCGCACAGAACTCGCAGACGATCCGGTTCGAAAGATCCAAGCAGGTCCGGTATGTCCGCCAGCCAGGTTTCGAAAGCAGAGGCCTGGCTATCAGGATTAACAAATACAAGGCCTTGCCATTGTGAGAGCGCGGCTGGTATGAGCCCCCATTCATCGAGGTTCATTGCCGGAAGTTGTTTGATCTGCTGCGGCACATTGCGCAGGCTGCCGTCGAGCTTGTATTGCCAGCGATGGTATGGGCAGACAATGGCGTTGCAGTTGCCTTGCGCATCCAGCAGCTGTGCGCCGCGATGCCGACAGACATTGTGGAAGGCGCGCAATTTTTGATCTTCTCCGCGTACAACAACAATGGGGCTGCCGCCAATGGTAGCGGTAAGGTAGTCGCCCACCTGGGGGATATCCCGTGTCTCACCTACAAAATTCCAGCTGCGCCGGAACAGCTGTTTCTGCTCGCGATGGAACCATGCCTGGTCATAGTAGGCTTCGGCGGGCAGTCGATAGCCATTGCCAGGTTGCAGGGATTGCGCGCTCGGCGGAAGCGGTTCCATTGAGGTGCCTCTGTCAGAATGAATGATAGAAACGCACAGCAGGATCCATGCCATCTCGGATCGATGCCGCTTTCTGGTGCGCACAGGTGTGTGGCGCACTCATAGTGATCACAGCGAACGCCGTGTAAAAAATAGCAGGGCTGTAGCGCGCGATATTGATACTTCTCATAGTGTGCATGGGAATTGCATGGTAGGTTTTCATGCAGTGTGCTGACGAGTGATGCAACGCAGTGCAGCAGACAGACGACGGATTTATCAGGGACAAATCAGATGTGTTCAAAAAGTGCCAAGCTACTCTTAGTTGCGGGATGCCTGGGTGCGTGCGCGGAATCTCCCGATCTTCAGCAGCAGGACGCCCCGGCGGGTATTCTCGCCACGGCGGAAGCACTCATCGATGCGTTTTACTCATTCCAGCCCGAGATGCTCGAATCCTTTCTTGTGCATCCGCAAGCCCGAGCCTCGGCACCGGCACTGATGTTCTATCAGGGTTGGGCTGAGGGGGGTAATTATAAAATTATACAACGAACACCTTGTACTGCAGTGTCGGAAAATGTTGTCCAGTGTGCGATTACCGTAGAGGACGACCCGGTATTGGCGTTAAAGACAAACTTTAATGTCACTGATACCTTTACCATCACGTTTGACGCAGGGCAGGTTGTGAAAGTGGAGACCGATTCCAATGATCAGCCAATCTACTATCAGGCTTTTGACTGGGTCGTTAAAGAGATGCCGGAAGTCATGGACGGTCCGTGTAAAGGTTTTTTTGACGGTGGTCCTACGCCAGGCGATTGTGCGCGGGCTATGACCGAAGGCTATCGCCGCTTTGCGGCGAGTGAAGAGTATCCACTCTAACCTGGATGACGCAGTAACAGGCGCCCCCAGGCGCTGCAGGGCAAAACAAATAGGGTATTTGATATGCAAACAGAAAGTTTGGAGCGGCAGCAGAACCGTTCGTCAGGCGCTTTCTTACTGACGCTTGTACAGCCACTGGTTGTATTTGGCGCCATGTTCATGGTGGCAACCGCCTATATTACGGGCTGGACAGAAGCAGACCAGCTAACCTCAATACTTCTGTTCTGTCCTATCCCCATGTTGCTGATAGCGGAACGATTCGCTCCCAAGCGAGGAGATTGGCTGCTGAATTGGAAAGAATTTGCGGAAGACGTCTTCTGGGTGGGCTGTGTTTACATCATCTGGGCACCACTATATGGCGACTTTTACGACACTCCGATATCTGATGCCTTTGTCTGGTTGCGTGAAGCCAGCTTTGTACCCTTTTCTCTGGATGCAACCACCACGCTCGGTCTTATGGCTGCGGCGCTCGCAGGTATATTTGTTTCCGAATTTATTTACTACTGGTTGCACCGCCTGCAGCATCGCGTGATGTTTTTCTGGCGTATGCATGCAACCCATCATCACATCACGAAAATGAGCGCGGCACGCGCTGATCGAACGCATCCGCTGGAATTCCTCGCTCTCAATCTGGGGCCAGCAATGACCCTGGCCTTCCTCGGTGCCAGTGATGCAGTGGTTGCGGTTGCCCTGACATTCCGGATTTTTTCTGCCTATACCAATCATGCCAACCTGCCGTTGCGCTCAGGTTTTTACGGATTGATCTTCACTACACCTGAATGGCATCAATTACATCACTCCAAAGAGCGCTCAGAAAGCGATACCAATTTCGGCTGTTCAGTTATTCTGTGGGATCGACTGTTTGGCACGTTCTCCGGAAAAACTGAGCTTGAAGCCATTGGTAACGGCACCGGTAAGGCGCTATCCATATATATGCAACTGACCATGCCGTTCCGTTCTAACGAAACGCTTCGCAACTTATGAGCAATGTAGTGAAGTTTGCGGTCAACGGGACCCTGATGCGGGGGCTGGAGCTTAACCCTAATCTGCTGGATGTGGGCGCGAAGTTTCTGCGCGAGTCTGCAACTGAACCTGCGTATCGCATCTGGTCGATTGGTGATGTCCACCCAGCTATGCAGCGGGTTGCCTCCGGTGGTGTTTCCGTCGCCCTTGAAGTCTGGGAAGTGCCTGCTGCGGGTTTAGCCCAGGTACTTCTGCAGGAACCACCGGGTTTGTGTGTTGGCAAGGTCCAGCTCATTGATGGCGATGAAGTGCTGGGTGTTCTGGGTGAAGCGATCCTGTGTGATGGTCAGCGAGAGATCACTTCATATGGCGGTTGGAGATCTTACTGCGAAGCCACGTAATATAACCGTTAGCCTGGTTTGATGCCGCTGACTCGCGTCAGCGTACCCGGTATGAACTCTGCAACCTTGATATGGGTAAAGCCGACCGCAGAAAAGTAGTTTGAACAGTCTGAAACTGAGTGTGCCAGGCCGGTGGAGTGGCTGACGGCTTCAGATAACCCCCAAAGTGCAGGGGCAATCGGTCCGCTCCCGTCGGCATCCAGCATTTCTCCGATCAGATGGAATTCACCACCGGGCAGCAGGGCGTCGTAAACCCGTTGTACAACATCGGCGATGATTGGTCGGCTGTATTGGGGCAGATTGGATGCCATGATTGCCACGTCTGCGTCTTGCGGCAGTGGGTCGCTGGTAAAGTCGCAGGCCGTTGCGATCACATCCTGATCGACGCCGTTCTCCTGTAAATACTCCCGTGTGACAACCACAACCGGCGGTAGATCAAGCACCTCCGCTTTCAAGCCCGGGTGCTGTTGTGCACCCACTATGCAGTAGCAGCCTGAGCCGCCGCCAAGGTCCATGATTTTTTTGCGTCCACTCAAATCGACCTGTCGATGGAATCGACGTGCCGCGCCCATGCCGATGGAATAGGTAGCCTCGTGGTATTCACGTGCGCGCTCAACGGTAAACGTATTATCGTACATGCCGAGCACACGTTGATCCGCTGCTCGCACCTGAAGGTGTTCAGTAAGATGGCCCCAGGCTTCCCAGCGCGGTTTGCCAAATAACATCCAGGGACCCGCGTAAGTCGGTTTCCCTTCAACCAGAAAGCGATCGACATCCTCGGTGTTACTGAACTGTTCACCGTTTCGAATGATCAGTTCCATTGCAGTCAGAACGGTGAGTAATCGTTCAGCGTTGACAGGTTCAATCTTTAAAGCGGCAGCGGCGGATTCGATGGTATTGCTGCCGTTGGCAATGGCGGTAAACACGCCAAGTTCTACGGCACTCATTAATGCGGCTGACTCCCAGAAACCTTTGGCAATCCTCTGCAGGCGAACGGTATCCGGGCGCTTGGTGTTGTCTGACATTGTCTGTGTGTCCTGGGCTGCAAGTTTAGGCATAGGCTACCACTTTATTGTGCTTTGCCCGAGTATGTAGGCCTAGTCATCAACGGAGGAAACGCGTGAGTTATCAATCTGGATTCAGAGCAGGACTTTTCCAGGGACAGACAATATTTGTACCCGGTGGGGGAGGCGGTCTGGGTCGCTGTATAGCCCATGAACTTGCCAGTCTTGGCGCAAATCTGGTGCTGGCGGGTAGAACCATGGAGAAGCTTGAACGTACCAGGGCTGAGATTGTTGCTGATGGTGGTGTCGTTCTGGGTTGCCATGCTGTCGAACTGCGTGATGAATCCGCAGTGATCGACCTGGTCAGCAGCGTGATCCAACAGCACGGACCAGTTGATGGCTTGGTGAATGCCGCGGGCGGGCAGTTCCCGGCGCGCCTGGAAGACATGAGCCTGAATGCATGGAACGCGGTGCTGCATAACAATCTGACCAGCTATTTTCTGGTGGCTCGGGAAATTTATAAGCAGTGTATGAGCGAACGTGGCGGCAGTATTGTCAATATTGGTGCGGACTATGAGTCGGGCATGCCGGGTATGGGGCACAATGGTGCTGCTCGGGCGGGACTGTCGAACTTCACGTTTACCGCAGCAACAGAATGGGGGCGATCCGGGGTAAGGGTGAATTGTGTCATTCCGGGATTTATTGCCACGACTGGTCTGGACCGGTATCCCGAAGAAGACTGGGATGCGCTGGTTGGTATTGATCGTAGGATTCCGCTGGCCCGACATGGCACGGCAGCGGAAATCTCAGCGATGGTTGTGTTTCTTCTGTCAGAAATGGCTGCATATGTGACCGGCGCTGATTTCAGAGTCGACGGTGGTATTCACAACGGTGCGGGTAGTTTTGTATTTCAGCCCGGTGAAGCGCGCAATATAAAAACCTTTAACGGTTTTCACCGGGATGAGCCGCCTAAACTTCTGCAGCGCTAGCGTTGCCGCCCGGCGCGAACTCGAATGTGTCAGTCCAGGTGGTTAGGTAGTCGACCAGGGTGCCGCCCTCTGTCACGCTGTCGAGCATACCCAGTGCGGTGCGCAATATGTCCAGCTGCATGTTGGTATCACCGGGCCGACCAAAATTATTGCCCATCGGATGATTGACGAATAAGGCTCGTGGCGGTTTTACCAGGGCAGTAAGGTCTCTGCCGGTAGCGATGTAGACAGTTGCAATACCCTGTTCTTCGAGCGTGCGACAAACCAGACCCACGGTCTGGTGATCAAGTGGTCAGCTCGGCGCGGCAATCAGCACGTCGACATTGTCTTCCCGTAGGGCAGCGGCAAATGCCGGGGCCGATTCTTCCATAACTTTGCTGCGGTTGTAGATACGACCCATGAATCCGCTCCAGAGGCGCTCGGAGACCTGGCCTATCTCACCGTTAGCGGCCAGTTCTCGCAGCCGCTCGATTGGAAAAATGCAGTTGATGTCTTGTTCAGCATCACGATGGTCGTAGTAGCTGTCGTGGATCTGAAAGTCATCAGCTGGTGCATGTTGATCAATCGCATCCAGACGATGATCGTTGCGTGCATCCGGGTTGAAGGCTGGCATGGCACATTGTGAAACGCCGCCTGAGGTGAGCAGGCTGACGGTGCAATCCTGCAAAGGTTTGTTGAGTCGGTGCAGGGGTGCAGACTCATTGACAGTCCAGCGGTAAGGTGGATTACCCATGGATCGATAATGGTTATTCAGAGCATCTACATATTTGATGGCTTGCACTGTTGGTCTCCCCAGGTGTTGCGTGTGAGCGTCCGTCATTTTTTCTGACCCGCCCAAAGATTACTACTTTTTATTGAAACGGTCGCTGGCTTCACGGGCATCTTTGGTTGCTGCGCTGAGCTGGCTCTGGTCTGCATCGGCGTAACTGGCAATGCGATTGAGCGCAGTCGTCGTGGAGTTGACCGCTTCCTTAATCATACTGGCTGCTACCGGTGGAATTTCTGCAACCCGACGCGCAAGTTCCATGGCCACATCTGCCGCTTCTCCGTCAGCCGCGATTTCTTCAATAAGCCCCCAGTTAAGCGCGGTTTGTGCATCCATACGTTCGCACAACAGGCATATGCGCTTGGCACGGGCTGGCCCAACAAGGTTTATCAGTCGAGGCAGCGCCCCCCACTGCAGATTCAGGCCGATTTTAGCCTCGGGTACGTAGAGGTAGGCACTTTTTCCCATCACCCGCCAGTCGCATGCCAGCGGTAAAGCTACACCGGCACCGACTGCAAGTCGTTCCATAGCCGCGATGGTGATCTGTGGCATGGACTCCCAGGCATCGCACAACCTGCCGCCGCGATAGAATATCTGCCGCCTTTCCAGGTCGGAAAGGTTTGGGTCATTGCGGGAAGCCAGGTCTTCCAGATCAGCGCCGGCCGAGAAATAATCGGTTGAGCCGGTCAGTACAACGGCTCTGGTGTCCAGGTCATCGTGGAACGACCTGGCAACGTCGGTGAGCTCAAGAATAAGCTGGCTGTCAAAAGCGTTCAGATTCTTTTTGCGATCAAATCGTACGAGTGCAAGCGGACCGTTTCGTTCGATGGTGACATAACGCTCTGGCATGGTCTGTTTCCCCTGGTTTCAGAACCTCTCAGGGTAACGCCTGTCGGCAGCGTTCTGCAAAAGGCGGTGTTACCGAAAATTTTCTGTTAACCCTTCTCATTGGCCAGCTCATACGCCAGGATTCGTCTTCAGCGAAAATCGAGTCGATCCTAAATGAGAATACTTTCCAGCCTGCTGTTGTGCTGCTTGCCAGTATGGAGTGCATTTGCAGAGCCCGTCGAAGTGGGTCTGGTGCTCAGCGGCGGCGGCACCAAAGGTGGTGCGCATATTGGCGTCATCAGAGCACTTGAAGAACACAACGTTAAAGTCAGCTACGTAGTGGGTACCAGTGTTGGCGCCATCATTGGCGCCATGTATGCAACCGGTTTGACAGCTGATGAGATCGAAGCTGCCATTGCCGCGATTGACTGGGATGATGTGCTGAGGGACGAACCGGCACGCGGTAGTGTGCCGATAGAGATGAAGCGCGATGACTTTGATTTCCTCGTACAGGCGAGGATGGGTTTTTCGAACGGGCAGCTGAAGTTACCTCTTGGTGTTACACAAGGGCAGAAAGTCACCCAGCTGTTGAGGCGGCTGCTACAGCGAAGTGAAGGGGTAATCGATTTTGATCAGCTTGAGATTCCATTTCGAGCGGTTGCGACATCACTGACCAGTGGTGAAGCGGTTGTCATGGCACACGGTGATCTTGCCTTGAGTGTACGGGCCAGTATGTCTCTGCCGGGTGTGTTTGCACCCGTCGAGGTAGGTGGTCACTATCTGGTAGATGGGGGCATTGCTGCCAATCTGCCTATTGATGTGGCCCGACAGATGGGCGCCGATCGCGTCATTGCAGTTGATATCACCTCGCCTCTGCTCAGGCGAAAGGATATTGATTCTGTATTAAGTGTGACCCAACAGATTGTTAATATGATCACTCGTCGCAATGCCGACGAGCAGATAGCAACGCTTGCGCCCACAGATATTATGATCCGGCCTGATGTGCAGGAGATCGACACCCTGGACTTTGCGAATGTTCTTGAAGCAATGGAGCCCGGCTATGTGGCCAGCCAGTCGGTATCGAACGAGTTACAGACGCTTGCAGCCATAACGGCCCAGAATCAGCGTGAGCCGGTGATTTTGTCGGCGGCAATAGCTGACCGCCCGATGATTGAGTTTGTTGACGTTACGGATAACTCAGGGCTCAGTGCAGACGTTGTGCAGGCCAGGTTGGGTATCGAAGTGCCGGAACCCTATGATCGAAGGGTACTGGATCAGCGTATTTCGCGCCTCTACGGTTCCGGTTTGTACCAAAGTATTGATTACGCTCTGATCGAGCGTGACGGTAAAAAAGGCCTGGCGATTGATGCGCAGGCGAAAGCCTGGGGGCCAGACTATCTTCAATTTGGCCTGCAGCTGGAAGAAGACTTTTCCTCAGACGCAAATTTTAATATTGGTGTCGCCTATCTGAAGACAGGACTGAATGCACTGGGCGCTCAATGGCGTACGCGCCTGAATCTGGGGGCTCAACAGGGTATCAGCTCGCAATGGTCTCAGCCGTGGACGCCTGATGGCCGATTGTTCTCCCGGTTTGAGGCGAGCTACGAGCGCAATAATATCCGGTTGTATGTTGACGATGATGACCCTGTCGGTGAACTGCGAGTGCAGGAATCAGGCGGCACGGCTTCCATCGGCCGGCAACTTGGCAGCGCATCTGAAGTTGAGCTGGCCTGGCAACGGTTGTGGGGTACTGCGAGTGAATTTGTTGGTTTTTTTGATATCCCCACCGAGAAATTTGATATTGGTGAGTTCTCTCTTACGTATCGTCACGATACCCTCAATCGGACTAATCGGCCGTCGGATGGTTCTCTGATTCGGATTACCGCGCTTGAATCAGGTGGTGTGACTGGCGGGGAGAATTACCAACAGGTTCATGCAGCGGCGATTAAGGCATTTAAGATCGGCAGCGGGCAGTTCACTGTTGCGACAATTGTTGGCGCAACGGTTGAAGATGATGCGCCGATTCAAAGCTACTTTATTTTAGGTGGTCTGGGACGCCTGTCTGGTCATCCGGTCGAACGATTTCGCGGCCAGCATATTGGTTTTTTACGCTTGAATGGATCTAAAGATATTGTGAGGTCTAAGGTGCCTCTATTTGTGGGTGCAAGTGTTGAAGTAGGCAACACCTGGAACAGTGCTTTTCATGAAGGTCCGGACAACTGGATCACGGCGGGGTCGTTGTACGCAGGTCTCAACTCGCCCATTGGCCCGGTTTATCTGGCGACGGGGTTTTCCGAAGGTGGTCAAAAGTCGATCTACCTGAGCCTGGGTAATCCGTTTTTAAACAGAGCCTATCGTCAGTTTGACTGATTCAGACATTGTTATGGCAGACTTGCAGTGGACAGAAACAATGAGGAACAAGCAGATGTTGCAGAGACCTGGTTTCCTGATGCTTATGACTTTCCTGGGTAGTGTAATTGCAGCGCCTTACAGCCTGGCCCGGGAAGAGCCGCTGCTCGACACAAGTCGAGCGTTAGCACAGCGCTTTGCGTCGGAACTGCAGCTCGAGTTGAAATCAGCTCTGGCACAGGGTGGGCCGATACATGCGATCGACGTATGTAAGGAAGAGGCCCCAAGGATCGCATCAAAGCTCTCGCGCGAAACGGGCGCGAAAGTTGCCCGCACCAGCCTGCAAACGCGTAACGCGATTAATGCGCCAGAACCCTGGCAGGTTGAGGTCCTGATGAGTTACTTTCAACCCGAGGTACAGGCCACGGATAAACGCGTGGAGTTCTATGCTGAGTCTTCTGGCGACGTGCGATATATGCAAGCCATCCGAACCGGCGGTTTATGTCTGACCTGTCACGGGCAGGTTCCGGAGGGTGATCTTGCCAGGCAGTTGGACCTTGACTATCCCTATGATCAGGCGAGAGGTTACGAAATCGGTTCGTTACGAGGTGCCTTCAGTATCACCTGGCCACAGCCCGGGGCTTATGTTGAGGGTGTTGACGAAGGTTGATAGTAGGGTTTGTCGCCGCTGATGGTGACACGACGCAGTAGCCGCTCATGGGGATAGTAGTCGCTGGCGGCATAATGTTGTACAGCCCGGTTATCCCAGAAAGCAATTGAACCTGGTGTCCATTTAAAGCGGCACATGTATTCAGCGCGACCGTGCTGGCTCAACAATTCCTGCACGATTGCTCTGGAAGCGTCTGCGCCAAGGGGTTCGTTGGTACGGTTATCGAACAAAGACTCGTGGCGTAGAAAGCCGCCGTGTATGTACAGGCCTGTTTTGCCGGTCTCTGGGTGCGTGCGCAGTAACGGATGACTGACACCAAACGGGATGTCCCCTTTAATTTCCTCGACTAACGATTCCGGCCAGGCTTGGGCGGCGCGCCCGGAGATAAAAATGCGATAGTCGTTGATGCCTTCCAGGTACGCCAGTCTTTCTTTCAGTTCGTCTCTTAAACCATGGTATGCCGCTGCGCTGTCAGCAAACAGCGTATCACCGCCGTAAGGCGGGACGACAATACATTGTGCAACCGAACCCAGAGACGGCTTTTCCATCCAGGTCACATCAGTATGCCAGCTGTTTTCCATGCCGGGGCTGTATTTATTGTGATGAATTTCCAGAATGTATGGATTCTTGCCTGGCGCGCCAAAAGGAAAAGCGTCCAGGTCGCCAAACTCACGCGCGAATGCCACCTGCTGATCTTCGGTAAGATGTTGGTCGCGAAAGAAAATAACTTTGCGTTCCAGCAAAGTGGCGTGAACGAGGTCGATCAGGGCGGGGTTGGACAGCTGCTTCAGATCAATGTTGTGCAGCACGGTACCCAACGTTAAGCCTAGGTGTTCAAATTCAACGCCCAGCTGGTCTGCCTGTGCTGCCAGCTGGTCTGATACCGGCTGATCACCCATCGCCTCATACTCCAGCGCGACACCCAAGCCGGATAAGTTATGTTGCGGGAACAGAGTGCTGCGATCAGGTGCGTGCGATTTCGAAGGGGTGCTGCCATTAGATCTTGCTTGAGCGAGTTTAGCCGCAGTGGCGATCGCCTTCTGGTTGTAGGCTGCACTTGAATTATGGTTACTCATCTCCACCTCGCGACTCCGATTTGGATTTAATCTGCTCAGACACTGCTTTTGCGTGTGACTTTAACGGGCAAATAAGTGTAGCCCTTCACAAACGAAGAAAACGTACGCTCTGGTTCTGCCTGTACGTCAATTTTTTCGAACCGTGCCAGAATCTCTTCCCATAATATGCGCAGTTGCAGCTCAGCGAGCCTGTTGCCCATGCAACGGTGTATGCCAAATCCGAAAGAAAGATGCTGCCGAGCATTGGGGCGTTCGATGTCCAGTTCATCCGCATTATCAAAAACATCTGCGTCACGGTTGCCAGAGACATACCACATCAGCACCTGGTCGCCTTTTTGAATCTGTTTGCCGCCAATCGTGCAGTCGTTGTTCGCTGTTCGGCGCATATAGGACAGCGGGGTTTGCCAACGAATGACTTCAGCGACCATTTGTGGGATCAGTTTCGGATTTGCGACCAGTTTGTCATATTGCTCGGGGAATTTATTGAGTGCGTAGATACTGCCTGACATGGTGTTGCGTGTGGTGTCGTTGCCGCCAACAATCAACAGCAGGAGGTTGCCTAGATACTCCATTGGCGGCATGTCCTTAGTGTCTTCGCCATTGGCCAGCATCGACACAAGATCGCTGCCTGGGTTGGAAACGCGTTCGTGTCTGAGTCTGGTGAAATACTCAAGGCATTCCAGGAGCTCGTCGCGCCGTTGTTCAATAGATTCCACAATTCCGCCAGGTTGGGGCACCGCGAAGGTTATATCTGACCAGCGTGTCAGCTTGCGTCGATCTTCGAATGGAAAGTCGAACAGGGTGGCCAGCATCATGGTGGTCAGCTCGATAGAGACGGTGTCCACCCAATCAAAGGTTTCGCCTTCTGGCAGAGCGTCGAGTACAGCGCAGGTTCGCTCCCGGATCAGCGGCTCCAGATTGACAAG